AGAGACAGAGACAGAGGCAGAGAGAGAGGCAGAGGCAGAGACAGAGGCAGAGGCAGAGGCAGAGGACAGAGACAGAGACAGAGACAGAGGCAGAGGCAGAGGCAGAGGCAGAGGCAGAGGACAGAGACAGAGACAGAGGCAGAGAGAGAGGCAGAGGCAGAGACAGAGGCAGAGGCAGAGGCAGAGACAGAGACAGAGACAGAGACAGAGGCAGAGGCAGAGGCAGAGGCAGAGGCAGAGACAGAGACAGAGGCAGAGACAGAGGCAGAGGCAGAGACAGAGGCAGAGGCAGAGACAGAGACAGAGACAGAGACAGAGACAGAGGCAGAGGCAGAGGCAGAGGACAGAGACAGAGGCAGAGGACAGAGGCAGAGGCAGAGGCAGAGGCAGAGACAGAGGCAGAGGCAGAGGACAGAGACAGAGACAGAGGCAGAGGCAGAGGACAGAGGACAGAGGCAGAAGGCAGAGGCAGAGGACAGAGGACAGAGGCAGAGGACAGAGGCAGAGGCAGAGGACAGAGGCAGAGGACAGAGGCAGAGACAGAGACAGAGGCAGAGGCAGAAGCAGAGGACAGAGGCAGAGGCAGAGGACAGAGGCAGAGGCAGAGACAGAGACAGAGGCAGAGGCAGAGGCAGAGGACAGAGGCAGAGACAGAGGACAGAGGCAGAGGCAGAGGCAGAGGCAGAGGCAGAGGACAGAGGCAGAGGACAGAGACAGAGACAGAGGCAGAGGCAGAGACATAGGCAGAGGACAGAGGACAGAGGCAGAGGACAGAGGACAGGGACAGAGGCAGAGGCAGAGGCAGAGGCAGAGGACAGAGGCAGAGACAGAGACAGAGGCAGAGGCAGAGCAGACAGAGGCAGAGGACAGAGGCAGAGGACAGAGGCAGAGGGACAGGGACAGAGGCAGCAGAGGCAGAGACAGAGACAGAGACAGAGACAGAGGCAGAGGCAGAGGACAGAGGACAGAGGCAGAGGATAGAGGCAGAGACAGAGGCAGAGGCAGAGGCAGAGGACAGAGGCAGAGGACAGAGGCAGAGACAGAGACAGAGGCAGAGGCAGAGGACAGAGGACAGAAGCAGAGGACAGAGGCAGAGACAGAGGCAGAGGCAGAGGCAGAGACAGAGACAGAGGCAGAGGACAGAGGACAGAAGCAGAGGACAGAGGCAGAGACAGAGGCAGAGGCAGAGGACAGAGGCAGAGGACAGAGGCAGAGACACAGAGACAGAGGCAGAGGCAGAGGACAGAGGACAGAGGCAGAGGACAGAGGCAGAGAGACAGAGGCAGAGGCAGAGGCAGAGGCAGAGGACAGAGGCAGAGGACAGAGGCAGAGACAGAGACAGAGAGAGAGGCAGAGGCAGAGGACAGAGGACAGAGGCAGAGGACAGAGGCAGAGACAGAGGCAGAGGCAGAGGCAGCAGAGACAGAGACAGAGGCAGAGATAGCAGAGACAGAGGCAGAGGCAGAGGACAGAGACAGAGACAGAGACAGAGACAGAGGCAGAGGCAGAGGACAGAGACAGAGACAGAGACAGAGACAGAGACAGAGGCAGAGGCAGAGGCAGAGGCAGAGGCAGAGGACAGAGACAGAGACAGAGACAGAGGCAGAGGCAGAGGCAGAGGACAGAGACAGAGACAGAGGCAGAGACAGAAGCAGAGGCAGAGGACAGAGGCAGAGGACAGAGGCAGAGGCAGAGACAGAGACAGAGGCAGAGGACAGAGACAGAGGCAGAGGCAGAGGCAGAGGACAGAGGCAGAGGACAGAGGCAGAGGCAGAGGACAGAGGCAGAGGACAGAGGCAGAGACAGAGACAGAGGCAGAGGCAGAGGCAGAGGCAGAGGCAGAGGACAGAGGCAGAGGCAGAGACAGAGACAGAGGCAGAGGACAGAGACAGAGGCAGAGGCAGAGGCAGAGGACAGAGGCAGAGACAGGACAGAGGCAGAGGCAGAGGACAGAGACAGAGGAGGCAGAGGCAGAGACAGAGGCAGAGGACAGAGGCAGAGGACAGAGGACAGGGACAGAGGCAGAGGCAGAGGACAGAGACAGAGACAGAGACAGAGACAGAGGCAGAGGCAGAGGCAGAGGACAGAGACAGAGACAGAGGCAGAGAGAGAGCAGAGGCAGAGACAGAGGCAGAGGCAGAGCAGAGGCAGAGGCAGAGGCAGAGGCAGAGGCAGAGGCAGAGACAGAGACAGAGACAGAGGCAGAGGCAGAGGCAGAGGCAGAGGCAGAGGCAGAGGACAGAGACAGAGACAGAGGCAGAGAGAGAGGCAGAGGCAGAGACAGAGGCAGAGGCAGAGGCAGAGGCAGAGACAGAGACAGAGACAGAGGCAGAGGCAGAGGCAGAGACAGAGGCAGAGAGAGAGGCAGAGGCAGAGACAGAGGCAGAGGCAGAGGCAGAGGACAGAGACAGAGACAGAGGCAGAGGCAGAGGCAGAGGCAGAGGCAGAGGCAGAGACAGAGACAGAGACAGAGGCAGAGACAGAGGCAGAGGCAGAGACAGAGGCAGAGGCAGAGGACAGAGACAGAGACAGAGACAGAGACAGAGACAGAGGCAGAGGCAGAGGCAGAGGACAGAGACAGAGGCAGAGGACAGAGGCAGAGGCAGAGGCAGAGGCAGAGACAGAGGCAGAGGACAGAGACAGAGGCAGAGACAGAGGACAGAGACAGAGGCAGAGGACAGAGGACAGAGGCAGAGGACAGAGGCAGAGGCAGAGGACAGAGGCAGAGAGGCAGAGGCAGAGGACAGAGGACAGAGGCAGAGGACAGAGGCAGAGGCAGAGGACAGAGGCAGAGGACAGAGGCAGAGGCAGAGGACAGAGGCAGAGGACAGAGGCAGAGACAGAGACAGAGGCAGAGGCAGAGGCAGAGGACAGAGGCAGAGGCAGAGGACAGAGGCAGAGGCAGAGACAGAGACAGAGGCAGAGGCAGAGGCAGAGGACAGAGGCAGAGACAGAGGACAGAGGCAGAGGCAGAGACAGAGGCAGAGGCAGAGGACAGAGGCAGAGGACAGAGACAGAGACAGAGGCAGAGGCAGAGACAGAGGCAGAGGACAGAGGACAGAGGCAGAGGACAGAGGACAGGGACAGAGGCAGAGGCAGAGGCAGAGGCAGAGGACAGAGGCAGAGACAGAGACAGAGGCAGAGGCAGAGACAGAGGCAGAGGACAGAGGCAGAGGACAGAGGCAGAGGACAGGGACAGAGGCAGAGGCAGAGGCAGAGGACAGAGGCAGAGACAGAGACAGAGAGAGACAGAGACAGAGACAGAGCCAGAGGAGGCAGAGGACAGAGGACAGAGGACAGAGGCAGAGGACAGAGGCAGAGACAGAGGCAGAGGCAGAGGACAGAGGCAGAGGACAGAGGCAGAGACAGAGACAGAGACAGAGGCAGAGGCAGAGGACAGAGGCAGAGGCAGAGGACAGAGGCAGAGACAGAGGCAGAGGCAGAGGCAGAGGCAGCAGAGGCAGAGCAGAGGCAGAGGCAGCAGAGACAGAGACAGAGGCAAAGGCAGAGGCAGAGGCAGAGGACAGAGACAGAGACAGAGGCAGAGGCAGCAGAGACAGAGGCAGAGGCAGAGGCAGAGGCAGAGGACAGAGACAGAGACAGAGACAGAGACAGAGACAGAGACAGAGGCAGAGGCAGAGGCAGAGGCAGAGGACAGAGACAGAGACAGAGGCAGAGAGAGAGGCAGAGGCAGAGACAGAGCAGAGCAGACAGAGACAGAGACAGAGACAGAGACAGAGACAGAGGCAGAGGCAGAGGCAGAGGACAGAGACAGAGACAGAGGCAGAGGCAGAGGACAGAGGCAGAGACAGAGGCAGAGGCAGAGGCAGAGGCAGAGACAGAGACAGAGACAGAGGACAGAGACAGAGGCAGAGGCAGAGGCAGAGGACAGAGGACAGAGGCAGAGGACAGAGGCAGAGGCAGAGGACAGAGGCAGAGGACAGAGGCAGAGACAGAGACAGAGGCAGAGGCAGAGGCAGAGGACAGAGGCAGAGGACAGAGGCAGAGGACAGAGGCAGAGACAGAGACAGAGGCAGAGGCAGAGGACAGAGGCAGAGACAGAGGACAGAGGCAGAGGCAGAGGACAGAGGCAGAGGACAGAGGCAGAGGCAGAGGACAGAGACAGAGACAGAGGCAGAGACAGAGGCAGAGGACAGAGGACAGAGGACAGAGGCAGAGGACAGAGGACAGGGACAGAGGCAGAGGCAGAGGCAGAGGCAGAGGACAGAGGCAGAGACAGAGACAGAGGCAGAGGCAGAGACAGAGGCAGAGGACAGAGGACAGAGGCAGAGGACAGAGGCAGAGGACAGGGACAGAGGCAGAGGCAGAGGCAGAGGACAGAGGCAGAGACAGAGACAGAGACAGAGACAGAGGCAGAGGCAGAGGACAGAGGCAGAGGACAGAGGCAGAGACAGAGGCAGAGGACAGAGGCAGAGGCAGAGGACAGAGGCAGAGGACAGAGGCAGAGACAGAGACAGAGGCAGAGGCAGAGGACAGAGGCAGAGACAGAGGACAGAGGCAGAGGCAGAGGACAGAGGCAGAGACAGAGACAGAGACAGAGGCAGAGGCAGAGGCAGAGGACAGAGGACAGAGGCAGAGGACAGAGGCAGAGACAGAGGCAGAGGCAGAGGCAGAGACAGAGACAGAGACAGAGGCAGAGGCAGAGGCAGAGGACAGAGGACAGAGGCAGAGGACAGAGGCAGAGACAGAGACAGAGACAGAGGCAGAGGCAGAGGCAGGAAAAGGAGAAGGACCTGGGCCTGGACGGATGGAGGAAGTCACTGAATGCATTTTTACTCACTCAAAAGTATTATTCTAACATTAGAGAAGAAAAAATACAAATGATCAGTTTGATTCATATGTTGATAGAATGAGTACATACTTGTTTTCAATGATTAAAGGGGAAACAGCTTGTGTTTCATTTGGATAAATCAGATTAGAGTCTAATGTAAAGTTTAGGTTTGATAAAATCTTAGAGAAATGAAAGAACAGTAGCGTACCTTCCAGTTTGGCGTATTCTGAGAGCCGCTGGTAGTTGACGAGAGCAGCCTGTTCCAGACACCTCCTGATGACGTCCTTCACCTCCTCCTGGGGAACGGGTGTCACTATGTCCTTCATTAATACCTGCACAGACAAGTTAGTTATGTTTTCTTAAAATGTCACATCACAAACTTATTTTACCTGAAGAAAAAATACTTAAAACTAGCAAAACAAAATTAACAAAAAGTTAGCTTTTTTTTTTATTGATTTTTTTTTTTGTCGCTTGAATGTAGTTTGTCATAAGACTATTTTACTAGTTTCAAGATACTTCATAATCTTAGAGAAAAAAAAGTCTGAGTTTTTAAGCTTGTTTTAACTATTTTTTTTGTTATTTCCAGACTTTTCTTGTTTTAATCAAATAAGTTTGTGATGCTATATCTTAAGAAAAAAATTCTCAAAATACTATAATATTAAAAAACATTATATAATACTTGAAATATACTAGAATCAAGTCATTTGCGGCTGTAGTAATTTTTCATTATATTCAGAAATCTTAAGTCGTATTCTCATTTTTATCCTTTTAAAGCAGTATTTTACTCATTTAAAAAAATATATCAAGGTATTTTTCTTTCCAGTGAAGTCTCATTATACCACTCAGTGGGACTCACCCGTTCCAGCAGAGACAGAGTGGCCTTCAGCGCTCCCTCCGGCCGTCCAAAGGGAAAGCAATATCTACAAGCAACAGTTTTATCACAACATTAGTATTATATTCACCTGAAAAGTGTGAAATGAGTCTGCTGAACGGGGTTTGAAGAGTTTGACCTCCACTCAGAGCAGGACAAATCTATCTTTGTGGATGTGAAGGAGGAAGTACCTGAAGTGTGTGATCTGATTCTCCAGGAGGACTCTGAGGCGTTCTTTGATCTCCTCGAAGCGGTCCCTCTCCTCCACCGTCACGGTCCCGATCCCGTCAGGTCTGAAAACCACCAAAAGCAGATGATGTTGTGATTAGATGGTTCTTTTTTAAGAATAAATGACGGATTAAATGTAATATAATTGTCTTTTTTGTAGATGTTTTCAGGAATGTCATGTGCGGCTTAAAAGATAAAGTAGATTTAGACGTTGACTGTAATTTAAAGACTTTACAACGTTTTACTCTGCAAAAAGTGATGAAAAATAAGTCAAGAAATGCTCATATTTTAGAAAATGTGTCTTAATCTAAGCACCTTCTGACTGAACTTTAAGACACGATTCTACAATGGGACAAGGTTAATGTAAACAACAGTTACTATAGAACATGTGACTAATGTATAAAACAGTTACTATAGAACATGTGACTAATGTAAACAACAGTTACTATAGAACATGTGCCTAATGTATACAACAGTTACTATAGAACATGTGACTAATGTATACAACAGTTACTATAGAACATGTGACTAATACAACAGTTACTATAGAACATGTGACTAATGTATACAACAGTTACTATAGAAAATGTGACTAATGTAAACAACTGTTAAGTAAGTAAGTAGTAAGTAGTAAGTAATCTTTATTTATATACCGCCTTTCACAGATCTGAGTCTCAAAGCGGTTTACAATTGTTAATTTTTGAGCATTTGTCTCTCACTCCACACAGAGATGGGAGTGGGGTCGCCGAACAGGAGGCGCATGCTAGAACTATTGGACACATTTTTAGTGGTAGGGGAAACCGGAGTACCCGGAGGAAACCTACGCAGACACGGGGAGAACATGCAAACTCCACTCAGAAAGGCCCTGGTCCGACCGGGATTCGAACCCAGGACCTTCTTGCTGAGAGGCGAGAGTGCTATCCACTCAGCCACCGTACTGCCCACCGTGCTGTTACTATAGAACATGTGACTAATGTAAACAACAGTTACTATAGAACATGTGACTAATGTATACAACAATTACTATAGAACATGTGACTAATGTATACAACAGTTACTATAGAACATGTGACTAATGTAAACAACAGTTACTATAGAACATGTGACTAATGTAAACAACAGTTACTATAGAACATGTGACTAATACAACAGTTACTATAGAACATGTGACTAATGTATACAACAGTTACTATAGAACATGTGACTAATGTAAACAACAGTTACTATAGAACATGTGACTAATGTATACAACAGTTACTATAGAACATGTGACTAATGTATACAACAGTTACTATAGAACATGTGACTAATGTATACAACAGTTACTATAGAACATTTGAATAATGTATACAACAGTTACTATAGAACATGTGACTAATACAAGAGTTACTATAGAACATGTGACTAATGCTTTGGCCTTTTGTCACACTATTGTCCCCTTTAATGTAAACAAGCCCATATATATAAACGCTCCTGACCTCATGGACCTGTATACTTTACACGGTGATGGGTTTTGTTTAGTACTTGGCACACATGTGAGAGCTAATTCTCCTGCCACGGCAACAACAATGGCACATTCCATTTGGCAGCTATAATGCCATCCCTCGGTGGCGGGCGGCGGTGATTCTTTGTGACACGGTGGGGTCTGGACGGAGTGTGAGCAGAGTGCAAGTGACAGAGGAGGCGCTGGACTGGTGGCCATGACAGCATGATTAGAGTCCGGAGACATGACACCCCCCTGACACCCCCCGTACATGTCATTTCAGTGGACACGGAGCAGTAGTGTGTGTGTGTGTGTGCGTGTGTGTGCATGTGTGTGTGTGCGTGTGCATGTGTGTGTGTGCGTGTGCATGTGCGTGTGTGTGTGAATGAATGAAGTTTATTTCAGTCACTTGTACAATTTTACATATTGTTACAACAGTGAATTTACAGAAGAGAGACCACACTGCATAAAGTCATAAAAAGCAGGTTGCTCTAATCTGGCAAAATGTGTCTTAATTTGTGTTTTTTTTTAAGCTGGTTTTATTATAAGTATAAGTTACTTTTCTTGTTTAGATAAAATAAGTGTGTGATGCCATATTTTAATAAAACATTTCTAAATAATGTTTAAGAAAAAAGTGAATAACAAAAACAATACATTTACAACAGAGAGAAAGACTAGAGAAAATATTGCTCTTAATTTGAGCTTGTTTTAAGTATCTTTTCTTGTTTAGATAAAATAAGTTTGTGATGATATATTTTAAGAAAAAAATTCTCAAAAATTTTTAAGAAATAAGTAAATAATAAATGTATATTTTTAAACTAGAATCAAGTCGTTTGAGGCAAGTATTTTCTTATTTACAGAAATCTTGTCAAGTCATATTTTCTTGTTGATCATTTATTGCTTATTTTAAGCAGTATTTTACTCATTTTCGCATACATTTTTCTTCTATTTATCGAGGGATATTTTCCATTCTACTTGTTTGTGTTTTGTGGAAAGTGAATCTCTATTTTTGAAGGTCAGCAGAAAGTGCAGAAGCAAAGTGAGCGGAAACACTGGCTTTACCTTTTCCATGGTGACAAAACACACAGGGGAGAAATGTCACGCTAATTAGTGGCTGCAGCGAGCGCCACGTGCACGTTCTTGGCGGCTTCCTCATGTTTGATGTTTGACCTAATGACCTGGCATCTCCACCGTCGCCGACAAATGAGCCATCAGTGGTTCTCACCGGCTCCTACCTCCAGAGCCACAGACGGCACTGCCTCCACATGACTGACAGGGTGTTAGCAACAAATGTCTTTGCTCTGTCACAGTTTTCGGGCCACTACAAGCTCCTTCTTCCTCACCTACAAGTCCCTCCATAGCCTGGCCCCGCCCCCTTACAGAGCTCCTACCGCCACCTTCGCTCAGCCGACTCCTCACCCCCATCACCCGCACTAACCTCCTCACTCCCATCACCCGCACTAACCTCCTCACCCCCATCACCCGCACTAACCTCCTCACCCCCATCACCCACACTAACCTCCTCACCCCCATCACCCGCACTAACCTCCTCACCCCCATCACCCGCACTAACCTCCTCACCCCCATTCACCCGCACTAACCTCCTCACCCCCATCACCCGCACTAACCTCCTCACCCCATCACCCGCACTAACCTCCTCACCCCCATCACCCACACTAACCTCCTCACCCCCATCACACCCACACTAACCTCCTCACTCCCATCACCCGCACTAACCTCCTCACTCCCATCACCCGCACTAACCTCCTCACCCCCATCACCCACACTAACCTCCTCACTCCCATCACCCGCACTAACCTCCTCACCCCCATCACCCACACTAACCTCCTCACCCCCATCACCCGCACTAACCTCCTCACTCCCATCACCCGCACTAACCTCCTCACCCCCATCACCCACACTAACCTCCTCACCCCCATCACCCGCACTAACCTCCTCACTCCCATCACCCACACTAACCTCCTCACCCCCATCACCCGCACTAACCTCCTCACCCCCATCACCCACACTAACCTCCTCACCCCCATCACCCGCACTAACCTCCTCACCAGGCCCGTCCCAAGAGGGGTGCGAGGCCCTGTGCGAACTCGAAACGCGAGGCCCTGCCCTGACACTTTTTTCCCAGATCTGAGGAAAGTTTTTCCTGTTATAATCTTTGACATGAATTCAGCACCACCTCGCGCGGTGCTTGACGAGATCAGCACGCGTGTAACCGAGTGTCTTCGCTCCTATGCAGCGTTTGGCGCGCGCACGTACACACGCACACACACTCTACGTGCAATATTGGTCGCGGTCTTTTTAGCTGACATGTCTCTTTCGTCCTGTGGCAAAATGGTAGAGCAACTCAAAAGATTGAACCAAAAGGAGTCTTTTTTCTTCTAATAGTTAGATTTTGGCAAAATGCGCCAAAATGGCTATGAGGCGGAGTCAATATTATTTTTTTCTCATCAAATAACGTTTTTGCCATGCCTCCACACACTCTGACAACATACACTCCTCCTCCACACTGACAACAACAAAATACTCTTCACCTCCTCCTCCACACACTCTGACCACAACAAAAACACTCCAGCTAGCTAAAGCTAGACATACAGTGTGTTTGCTAATGCTTTTAAAAATATGTTTTTGATGTGGATATTCGGACTAAACATTGGCAATAGCAGCGCTCACACACCTGTCACACCGCTGATCCTCCTCCTCCTCCTCTGCTCACACAAAGGGGCATAGACGTCGGAACTAGGGGTGCCTCCGCGTGTGCCGGGAGCGAGAAGTTATCACTATCCTGCGTTCCTTGCAGCCCAAAACCCGCTCCATGCTGTCGGAGAAGCTTATGAAGCTCTGTCTGGCTAATATCTGTCGCAGCCTCTGAGCGCTCTTTCTCAGCCTTGCGCAGATTAGAGACCTGGCTACACCAGTGACGTGCGGTGGGGGATCAATCATGTGTTCATATGATTATACATCATATAAACCAACAGGACCTACAGGAACAGGAGCGGCTTATACACAATTTGTTTGGCTACAGCAGAATATGATTTAATGTCTGCATTGTTTTCTCATACAAAACGCAAACGTTTGTAAAAAGTACAAAGTGTGTTATGGGCCTTACCTTAGTTATTAATGAACAGCACAGACCACTTCAGTTAGGACCAGTTTCATGTTTAAGTCCAGATAATAGTTTGAGCACAGACATGTAATCCTCCATTTGGAAATAAGTTCAATGAGTTTTAAAAAGTAAAAAAACGGGTGTCTCCTCCGTAAACTCCGAGTTTTGCTGCAGCCGACTCCCGGGTAAATCCAATTTCTAAATTCAACCTTACCCTTCACCTCGTTTTCTTATGATTCATATCATCATTGGAAGCAAAACATTACTCTAAGTGCATTTTAAATTATCTTAAAATGTATTATAGGTATGTTAGCCAAACCTGTAGCTGCCCTTAGCAGAAGAAGAACAAGAAAGGAGCTTTCTGATGGAATTGGATGCAGCCATAGTTTGGGCTCACAAGCGCCCCCTTGAGGCTTTCCTCACTTACAAGCTGTGGTTGAGCGCGATTAAGACCCATATTTGCTTCAAAAACACTATTTATGAGCCATCCTCTTAAATGTAAACATGTTGATTGTAAATTAAATATTTTTGAACTTTTTAAACTGTGATAAACAGAGAAAACAGTTTGATAGCACCTCACAGGACTCTCCCTGTGAGCTGTTGCTTTTACGTCTCCCAAGAGAGGCTTGCCTCACAGCGCCGCTCTGTCAAATCTGCGATTTCAAGGTATAAATAAATGAAATAAGGCACAGCACAAATCACTTGATAAAGTGACCAAACATTATTGTATCCATTTTATTACTTTTCTTTCTATGATCTTAGGTGAGGGCCTTGCCTGCCTCATCTGACCGCACGTCACTGGGCTACACAACACAATGAAGCCACCGGAGAGACTGACGCATGAATGCGTATTGAAAAAAAAAAAGGTTCAGTTTGATAAGTGACTTGCTTGATATATATTGTTTATTTTGTTTTTCTTAACAATTAAGATGGTATGTTATTATCCAGTGTAATCCAAGTATGAGTCTCTCCCTCGACTCTCCCAACAAAAACCCGCCCCCCCTCTCAGAAAATAGTTCCGACGTCCATGCAAAGGGGTCTGCTCCTCTGCTCACACCTGTCTCACTGCTCCTCCTCCGCGAGTATCCATCTCTCCTACACTGCGATCATTCCCGTTACTTTCTTTGTATCTCACTCAGACACTGCTAAAGTTATCTGACAGTTTTTTCGGAGGACCCGTTGCATACATAGCTGCCCGCGCGCCTGCCTGTTTACAAATCGCTTTTGGTGAAAATTTGACTTTACTTGTAAAAATGTTCTTTTGATCAAACGAAATCAAAGAGGTCCAGAGAAAGGGGTTTAGGGTTCCAAATTTGGAGTGCAGTCTGCCCTTTGGGGACCCTTGAACTAGTGTATTTATAAAATAAAATAAAAGGAAGGAAGATTGCGAGGCCCCTGTGTGGTGCGAGGCCCTGTGCGACGGCACAGGTCGCACAGCCCTTAGGACGGGCCTGCTCCTCACCCCCATCACCCACACTAACCTCCTCACCCCCATCACCCACACTAACCTCCTCACTCCCATCACCCGCACTAACCTCCTCACCCCCATCACCCGCACTAACCTCCTCACCCCCATCACCCGCACTAACCTCCTCACCCCCATCACCCGCACTAACCTCCTCACTCCCATCACCCACACTAACCTCCTCACTCCCATCACCCGCACTAACCTCCTCACCCCCATCACCCGCACTAACCTCCTCACCCCCATCACCCGCACTAACCTCCTCACCCCCATCACCCGCACTAACCTCCTCACTCCCATCACCCGCACTAACCTCCTCACTCCCATCACCCGCACTAACCTCCTCACCCCCATCACCCGCACTAACCTCCTCACTCCCATCACCCGCACTAACCTCCTCACTCCCATCACCCGCACTAACCTCCTCACTCCCATCACCCGCACTAACCTCCTCACTCCCATCACCCGCACTAACTCCTCACCCCATCACCCGCACTAACCTCCTCACCCCCATCACCCGCACTAACCTCCTCACCCCCATCACCCACACTAACCTCCTCACTCCCATCACCGCACTAACCTCCTCACTCCCATCACCCGCACTAACCTCCTCACTCCCATCACCCGCACTAACCTCCTCACCCCATCACCCAGACTAACCTCCTCACCCCCATCACCCACACTAACCTCCTCACTCCCATCACCCGCACTAACCTCCTCACTCCCATCACCCGCACTAACCTCCTCACTCCCATCACCCGCACTAACCTCCTCACCCCCATCACCCGCACTAACCTCCTCACTCCCATCACCCGCACTAACCTCCTCACTCCCATCACCCACACTAACCTCCTCACTCCCATCACCCGCACTAACCTCCTCACTCCCATCACCCGCACTAACCTCCTCACTCCCATCACCCCGCACTAACCTCCTCACCCCCATCACCCGCACTAACCTCCTCACTCCCATCACCCGCACTAACCTCCTCACTCCCATCACCCACACTAACCTCCTCACTCCCATCACCCGCACTAACCTCCTCACCCCCATCACCCGCACTAACCTCCTCACTCCCATCACCCGCACTAACTCCTCCCCATCACCGCACTACCTCCTCACTCCCATCACCCGCACTAACCTCCTCACTCCCATCACCCGCACTAACCTCCTCACTCCCATCACCCGCACTAACCTCCTCACTCCCATCACCCGCACTAACCTCCTCACTCCCATCACCCGCACTACCTCCCCAACTCCCTCACCCGCACTAACCTCCTCACTCCCATCACCCGCACTAACCTCCTCACTCCCATCACCCGCACTAACCCCTAACCTCACCCGCACTAACCTCCTCACTCCCATCACCCGCACTAACCTCCTCACTCCCATCACCCGCACTAACCTCCTCACTCCCATCACCCACACTAACCTCCTCACCCCCATCACCCGCACTAACCTCCTCACCCCCATCACCCGCACTAACCTCCTCACTCCCATCACCCGCACTAACCTCCTCACTCCCATCACCCGCACTAACCTCCTCACTCCCATCACCCGCACTAACCTCCTCACTCCACTCTCCTCTTCTCTCTCCCTGTCAAGCAAAGGGCATCACTTTATTGTAAAAAAATATGTATTTTGTATCAATATATATTGTTTACTATAATGTTTAGGATACCACAAGTTGGCTCATGCTCATGCATTTCAATAGCAACCAGTTCACACTTGGTCATTTAAAGCATAAAGTACAGTCTTGGTCTTGGACTTTCATCCTCATTAAAGTTTTTCATGCATGTGTCTGTTTGGGTGGAACAGTGCATATGAAAGAACAGCAGTAAAAACAGTAAAAGCCCCAGGACCTTCTCGCTGTGAGGTGAGCTGTGAATGTCTGCAGCTAATCCAGAGAAAGCACTGGCCTCTGGATACGGGGAACTATCAAACATGTTTTTAGTGGTAGAGAAACCGGAGCACCTAGAGCAGGGGTGCTCACACTTTTTCAGCATGCGAGCTACTTATAAAAGGATCAAGTCAAAATGATCTACCTACTACAAAAATGCAAATCATATCTTTATTTCAAAAAATATTCTTTATACCTACAATGTATGTTTATGTACATGCAAAACCGCATGAGCCAATATAGCACAACACAATTACCTATGTACATTTTTTGTCATTACCCGAGTTTACTCTTATGACTTGCACTGAATTGAATCGGCCAGGGATGCATAGTCCGGAAAATTGGTGGTAACTCGCTGACAAGTTTGTCGTGGTTTAGCTTTCCTGCACTGAGCGTGGTTGTTTGCGCATGTGCAGTCACCTAAGTGTCAGTAAAACATTACTGAGTAAAACACAGATGTCATTTGACTGTGGTGCCATGTCCATGTGCCATGCCTATTTTTTTTTAAATCCAAATATTTCCCCTCCTCAGTTTATAAAATAATTTGCATCCACACATCTGCGTTATCAATCACATTCGTAACATTCCAAACATGTGCGTCTCTTACGTCCTGTCCTGCGTTGGGGAAAAACACAGAAGTGGGCGGAGCTTTGATGCAGACGCCGGTAACGGCACTTTTACAGTCATAGAAGACACTCAGAGTAAAGACGTATGTTTACAAGCACTGAACCCCGTGCTCAGTCCTGGTTTAGTCCTGGTTTAGTCCTGGTTTAGTCCTGGTTTAGTCCTGGTTTAGTTGTTTTCAAGCGTGAGTCCCTGCGATCACTTTGCTGCTCTCTGATGTGGAGGATGTTCGCTGCTGCGAGCATCTCACAGCGAACAGTTTTTAAGGTAGTATGATCCATGCTTCAGTGATCAGAGGAATTTAGGGGGGTACTGTGGCGTGCGAGAACGCAAAACTCCGATTATCTCTGACTACACACAAATGCATTAACGGAGTTTTCAAAAATCTCCACTTTGCCCGGAGTTTTTTGTATATATTTGTTTAGAATGTGTAATTTTTTCATTTATTTAATGCGATCTACCAATACTACCTTTGCGATCGACTGGTAGATCGCGATCGACGTATTGAGCACCCCTGACCTAGAGGAAACAGTTATCAAGGCACTGTATCCCCATAAAGTACCTCCCTCCAATGATCATTTCTGATTGGGTCATGAGACTAACGACAAACACAGAACGGAAAATCCGCTGAACACATGAGTCTGAGGTTGGATCGATGATGTAAGATGGCAGGAGAAACCAATCTTGACGCTGCCCTGGACAAAGCCTGACACGTTCGCCCCCGACCGGGCCGCAGTCCAACTTGTAGCAGCTCCAAGCCAGCAGGCTATTCATGTCTTGGGTGGGGGTGGGGTGGGGGTGGGGGGTTGACGAGGAGTATTTACAACAGAGACATCCAGCCGTCACTCATAACAACCTGTCAACCTGTCAGGCCTTGACCTCCGGGCAAGGCAGCTGGAGTTCCAGGTCTTAGTGAGTAACATGTTAGAAAAGACACGCACAATTCAAGAGAGCGAGACCAAAAGAGTCTGAAATGAAGAAATCAGCCGCTATCAGCTCTATTTTATTTTATTGTTTACATCGAGGGCGACAGTAGCTCAGTTGGTAGAGCATTGGCCTTAAGCCCAGAAGGTCGTGGGTTCAATTCCCACCTCTGCACCTTCTCCACCGATTCCCACTGATGACTGCTGTCGTTGTGTCCTTGGGCAAGACACTTAACCCCACTTTGCCCAAAGCCCCCACTGAAAGATCAAGGCTATGCTCACACTCAGAGAGCAGCCGTCCTCCTGTGGACTCACCACCTGCAGAGGGTCAGTGAGGGGCTGGTGCTATGAGACTTGGGTGGCATCTCTGACTGCCACCCCCCTGACCCAGAAATGGACTAAAGGGTAGAAAATGGATGGATGGATGGATGTTTACATCGAGGCGACGGATCACTACAGTGAATAAAAAATTAAAATATATATGAAAATAAGTAAACTACTGCTTTAAATAATAAAAATGATCTGCCAATAGAACAGGAAATGATGACTTCAAATTTTCAATACTTATTTTATCTGAACAAGAAAAGTCTGGAATTAATAAAAAATACTTAAAACCAGCTTAAAAACTCACTACTCAGACTTTTTCTCTAATAATATCATGAAGTATCTGAAAACTAGTAAAATAATCTTAGGAAAAACCACACTTGCCTTTAAATAATAAGCATCATTTCTGTTATTTTTGTGAATAAATCTGACCTTTCACTTTTACTAAACCAGCGGTGAGACAATAAACTCTGTCTCAAGATGATGCTGCTGCTGATGTGTCTGTTTCTGTCTCCTCCTGGGAGTGAGGCCTGTCCATGTGTCCGGCCTGATCAGAAAAGGCCCCAGTGCTTGTGTGTCAGCAGTGATGGACTGATGCAGAGGATGGACCAATGTGGACCGATGTGGACTGGGGGGGGCTGACCTCTGGCCCGTGCACCGCAGTGCTCTATGTTAGTCCCTCCGCCCACAGATGGCCTCCTGCCTGTGAGCCTGACACATGTGACGCGTGGACACATCACTGCAGATTAGACTGGATGTAAACATTTAACTCGGGCCGATGAGCCATGTCACAAAGCCAACACAAATGTCACTGAATCAGAAGTCGTGACAGCGGCGGCGGCACTGTACCGAGACCTGCACAAAAGGCAACGGCTCCAGAGAGAACTCGGAGAGAGAAAGTTGTTTCATGATTTTGAACTTTGTAGTAAGTAGTAAGTAAGTAAGTAATCTTTATTTATATACCGCCTTTCACAGACCAGAGTCACAAAGCGGTTTACAATTGTTATTATTTTTGGGCATTGGTCCACTCACTCCACACAGAGATGGGAGCGGGGTCGCCGAACAGGAGGCACATGCCAGACCTATTGTGCATGTTTTTAGTGGTAGGGGAAACCAGAGTACCCGGAGGAAACCTACGCAGACACGGGGAGAACATGCAAACTCGACTCAGAAAGGCCCTGGTCCGTCCGGGATTCGAACCCAGGACCTTCTTGCTGAGAGGCGAGAGTGCTATCCACTCAGCCACGTGCCGCCCAAAACTTTGCGTTTTTCACTTGACCTCATGTGCAGTTGCTAATTATTTGGGGGGGGGGGGGGGGGGGGGGGAAACTAAATGCATGTGGAGAGGAAATGCAATTACCGGTGATTGGATCATAATCAAGAACAAAACATATTTACCTTAAAGTAGCAATATGTAAGATTTTAATGTCATGTCATCAATAAAGGGTCCTAATCTGACATCATCTGAAATCATTAAAGGGCCCTAATCTGTCATCATTAAAGGACAACTCACCCTCTAATCTAATTTGCTGATAAACGGTATAAATGAGTGTCCAATAGTGTTGTCTACATATCCTGGTCATAATTTTGTCACTTTAGTGCAAATTAGTTGAAAGTTAAACTTTCTGCCTAAAACCGTCTGTGAGGCGCCATCTGCTGGCGACCTGTATTACTGAGCTTAATAAACGGCCCGGTCTCGTTCACTCCCCCTTTAGTCCTCCAGGCTACGCCCATTTAGAGGATTTGAACAGGAAATGTGAGTGACGTAAACTCAGAGGAGCGGGGGTGAGAACCACTTTAAAGGGCCCTAATCTGTCATGATTAAAGGGCCATAATCTGTCATCATTAAAGGGCCCTGATCTATCATCATTACAGGGCCCTAATCTGTCATCGTCAAAGGGCCCTAATCTGTCATCATTAAAGGCCATAATCTGTCATAATTACAGGGCCCTAATCTGTCATCGTTAAAGGGCCCTAATCTGTCATAATTAAAGGGCCATAATCTGTCATCATTAAAGGGCCCTAATCTGTCGTCATTAAAGGGCCATAATCTGTCATCATTAAAGGGCCCTAATCTGTCATCATTAAAGGGCCCTAATCTGTCCTCATTAAAGGGCCCAAATCTGTCATAATAACAAACTGCTCTTTTCCAATACTTCTTTAACTGAAAACAGTAGTTCAGAGATATTTGAATTTCTAAATCAGTTTTACAGCCCCTAAATCCAGGTTGCCAGAACTCACCGCGTCAAGCTAATCTCACTGGTAAAGTACCATGTGGCCACAGAACTAAAAAAGGTCTCGTTATGATTCCAAAATTATTAACGACAAAACAAGGAATCTGTCTATTAAGCTGTCATGGTCCCAGCTGCATTCATCTGCATATCTGGCAACCCGAGTCAGGGAGAGTGGAAGTGGCTGCAGTACCACTTTTGGCCAAATTTCGACATATTGCTCTTTTATCCTATTATCAAGACTATATTATTATTATTCTGTTCTATTATTCCCTATTATTCTAGATTAAGCTGCAAACACATTGACCTTTGGGATAAAACCATAACCCAAAGTTTTCTCAATCTGAATCTGAATCCTAACCGTAACCCTACATCCCCTTTAATGTTTCCCAAACCATTTGGTGGATTACTCTTTGAGACGATACATCTACTTGAAACTTGGAAATCCACCGCATTTGGGAATCTTTATCATTTAGAGACTTTTACCATCAAGCCACATCTCAAAGTTTAGAGGCTTATGTTTAAAAAACTACAGGGTCAGAAAATAAAAATATTTTTGTTATTGGTGCGCCTACATTGCTTTCTTCTTGGAGTGAACATTAAAGGGTTAATATAGATTATTTCAATTACATGTTAAGTTTGTTAAGGTCAGTGCGATGTAAGTTTATCTACATCTAAAGGAATGTGAACTACAGCACACTGTCGATAAAGGTCATGGAGGGAAACAATACAGTACAAAATGATCTATAACAGAGCTGAAGTTGGCTGAATGACACATGTTTACCATCTCTCCAGCTACAGTAGCAACATTAACGGAAGATCAAAAACCACGTCAGTACCGTTTGTATAAATATGAATTCCAGATGCACTGGCTTTAGAACGACTCATTACACGTGTATATTGTCTGAGCTGAAGTTGGATGGATGACACAGTGAACTTGTGTTTATGATCTCCAAGACTACTTTGGGTTAGCAAGGGAGAGGGCCGACTGACACTGAGGGCCGCTAATGGCCCGCGGGCCTGAGTCTGGACATGCCTGCTTCAAAATGTGATATTTTAACATTCCAAGGGTTTTAACATCTCACATCTGAAATTAAATGAAACTTTTGAAGTATTATTGAGTATTTTGAGACTGCGTTGGTCATAGTCAAACTTACCTTTTGACTCCAGGCCACATTTGAGCCGTGAAGTCCCTTTTCTTGATGAATTCAATGATTCTGAGGTCTCTCTTAGCACTAGTGGGAGGGGGGCTCTCGAGGGCAGGGGGGTACAGGGCCAGGCTGAGCTCGGCCTCAGATATGGGCCAGTTTAACAGCTCAGTCAGCCGCAGACTGTGGGACCATGCAAAGGGCAAGAACGAGGGAGGAAAGGGGTGTGTGTATAAATATAGGACCAGGAAAGAGACATAACAGAGGTAAGACAAAGAATAAAAAGAAAGAAAGAGAAAGCCGTAAGCACATGCAAATGAAAGTCATACATGCTGAGGACAAATGAGATGCACCGGTGAATGTGTGCAATAATAACTTTAATAATGTCAGAATGTGCAATATAGAACCACGTGTCACTGCTGCTCTACTGAGTCACTGTCTCACTGTCTATTTTATACTTGCTACTTGTTATACTAGCCTGGTCTTCCCATATCACCGAGTTCACCATGACGTGTGTAATGCGCCCAAGTGAGTGAGGCTTTTAGCATTTAGCCTAGCTTTAGCCTTCACTTTAGCCCTTTGCCACTAACGGAGCCCGTGGGGAGTAGAGCCACAATCTTTGCAGCGATTACATTTGATAAACATTCCTCTTGCTTTAGTTTCTTGATATTTGGATCAAACCAGAACGGATTATTTTACTATCGCATTCTCCGACAAACTACAATCAGCAAATTCAGCTCAAACTCTTGACGTCACCGACACCAACCTACAACACCCGCCTCCCCTGCTCTCTGATTGGTCGGCGGGGATTCAACCGAGGAAACTGCAGCCACTAGGATCAGACCCAGACGTACATGTAGGAAATGATCATGGACCAGAGTTTACACATGGTAAGACCAGACGTACATGTAGGAGATGATCATGGACCAGAGTTTACACATGGTAAGACCAGACGTACATGTAGGAAATGATCATGGACCAGAGTTTACACATGGTAAGACCAGACGTACATGTAGGAAATGATCATGGACCACAGTTTACACATGGTAAGACCAGACGTACATGTAGGAAATGACCATGGACCAGAGTTTACACATGGTAAGACCAGGCTAGCTTTATATTAAAGTCAGAGGTTCTTTTTACTTAAGTTTTGCTTCTTCGTCATGCTAAAGTTGAATATTTTAAGACTTATTTCCTTATTATTCTGAGGATTAGATAATGTTAGAGTTAGAGATTGTGTTCATTATATTCAGTTATCAGTTCATCTTGTGCTGTGAGCTCCTCATTCCTACTGCTCTGTAACTTGTGATGCAACACTGACATTTCCCCGCTGTGGGACCAATAGAGGATCTTAATCATTTGGAGGTGAGAGGATGAAGTTGTACCTGTTCCCGTGGACATGAGAGGCGCAGAAAGCGTAGCTGTAGTGGAGCAGCGTGGGGTCAATCATGGCTCCATTCTCTGCTCGCTCCAGCAGGTCACTCAGGTAACACAGATGTCGATGGCAGCCGCGGACGCCGTACCGGGCACAGTACTCATCCAGGACAAACACCTGTCCAGGACTGAACCAGCCCTGCAAACAGAGGCCGACTGGGTCAACAGGGCGCCATGAAGACACGGACGTACGCAAAAGCTGGATTTTAATTTTTTTCTTGTATCGCCCTTAACTCATTGTGTCCCATTGACGCACAAATACGTCAAAGCAAATAGTAACGTCGTGTGCCATTGACGCATTAATCCGTCAAATAAATCTATTTTCACGTTCCCAGATGTCAATTGTATCTAATATGTATGGGGATGACTTGAGACCATATTTTATCGAGCCAGCAGGTGGCAGCATTTCTCTCTGAATGGTTTGAAAACATGTAGGTGCACATGTTGTGCCTCTTTTTTCTCAACTTTCTGGTGATTTCTGGTGATTTCAGTAAAACTTCCCTCTACTCAACGGAGGATTACAGGGGAACGAAAAAAGCTATAAACAAAATTCTTTTTGATGAGGAAAGTAGACAGTCCATTCTTTTAGAATCTGGTGTCGGATTTCAGATAGTCATAGTACACAATATTCTGTGGGTCTTGAAAAATCAGTAAAAATCATCAGAAATGGCTGGCACTGTGGGAGTACCTGTTCTGAAATAGGCTGGCATTCAATGAGTTCAGAACAGTAGCAATCTCAGAGGACTTCACACAACCCTTGAATTCGCCAACACGGATCAGAGAATAAAACAGTTCAAAAACGAAAGAAATTAAGCAGAAATTGGTAGAGCATTGGCCTTTGGGCCCGAAGGTCGTGGGTTTGAGCCCACCACAAGACCTTCTAGACCGACTTCCACTTATGTCTGCTGTCGTTGTGTCCTTTGGCAAGACACTTAACCCCACTTTGCCTATAAGGAGCGTGGATGTTTGCTGCTTGCCTTGATGTGTATGTGTGTATGCATATCTGTATGCATCAAATGGAAATTTCCCCTTTGTGGGATGGTTAAAGGATGGTTCTTCTTCTTTTAGTTAGACCCTCATAAGGCCAAGTCAGGGCCTGGTTAATACTTTGGTGAGAGATCACTGAAAATACCCTGTGCTATGGTGTGTGTGTGTGTGTGCGTGTGTGTGTGTATGAGCGGAGGAGCATTCAAGTGTGTGCTGCTTCTGCCGCAGTGAATTAGAGTTAATCAGAAGTCACCATTTATTAGTACATTTTTGATAGAAAATGTCCGTGCTGAAGGGGGCGCTTCACATGAATTGGCTGATAATTCAGACGTTTTTTAAATGTCCCGGCAATCTTTATTTGCATGTTCATTCGGGGCCTCCCTTGTATTTATATTAATATACAGTACATATATTTTTTGGCGGCTTCAGTTTCCCATTTTCTTCGGAGGCGGAGACAGCTTCCTGCAGTCTCCGCCTCCTTCTTCTCAAACGTCCAATGAGATCCTTTAAATGATTTTCTCGCAGCTCTTGAAATGTCACTGAACTCGTGCAAACTGCAAACGCTGATCTTTTTCTGATTCTGTCAAATATCGCCACACGATGCTGTCATCTTCTTTGTTTCTTCTACTGAGGAAAGTGCACAGACGCCCCCTACTGGTGACTCTTCACACGCGCCACTACACGCAGGAATGTAATTTTTATATACAGATGGTCGTTAACATCAGATCCCTATGTCCAGCCGATGAACTCCTAGTTAAAAATCTGTGGTGCATTCGTTCTTGACACACATGAGGTTGGCCATAGTGACTGACACAGTGCATTTGACTCTGGAACACGTCACACACACGCTCTCACCAGACACGAGTAGGAGTCGTTGAGTCTGTGGTCCAGAGTGAGACGCTGCACCAGCTCGAACAGCGAAGAATGGTCAAAGTTACAGGGATTGGCAGAAATGAACTCGTCCATGCCATGTTTCTGTGCCCGGTCAGCATCTGCCCCACACAAACACACAGGAAAGCTCTGTTAGGTCACATTAAGCATTCTGTGGAGGAGGAGGAGGAGGAGGAGGAGGAGGAGGAGGAGGAGGAGGAGGAGGAGGAGGAGGAGGAGAAGAAGAAGAAGAAGAAGAGGTGCTGGTGCTCTGTGAACTGGACAGCATCTCTGGCCATCCCCCGACCCAGTAATGGATTAAGGGGAAGAAGATGGATGGATGGACAGTTACAAGCTTTGTTCTATGTTGACTTGCAATGTCTCTGTCAAAAAAATGTATAAGTAAATGACACACACACACACACACGTCCCATAACCTAAAATAAATAGGGCTATTATTTATTAAGTTAATCCCATCCATCCATTTTCTTCCCCTTAATCCATTTCTGGGTCAGGGGGGTGGCAGTCAGAGCTGCACCCAGTACACTTAGCACCAGCCCCTCACTGATCCTCCTGCAGGTGGTGAGTCCACAGGAGCTGAGATCTTTCAGTGGGGGCTTTGGGCAAAGTAGGGTTAAGTGTCTTGCCCAAGGACACAACGACAGCAGTCATCAGTGGGAGTCGAGAAGTAGGTCTTACGGTGGGCTCGAACCCACGACCTTCAGGCCCAAAGGCCAATGCTCTACCAACTGAGCTACTGTCGCCCTAAGTTAATCCCGTGTGTGTTATTAATGTTTTAAGGTTTTTAAATTACTTCTGATTTTATTCTGTTTTCAATATTTCTTGTGTTTATGTATATGTAGATTTTAATGTTTATGATTTGATGGATATGATGTGGGTTGTTAGGCGCTTTGTGTTGCCTTGTGTAGAAAAGGCGCTCTACAAATAAACGTTGATTGATTGATTGATTGATTGATATTGTACCGGTGCAGTTTTAAACTGAGGCAGAGAAGTGAGAGAGCGAATCGACAACGGCAAAATGTTCCAGACAGAGCTTTAAATTTAAATGCATGTTTTCCAGCTTCGTTTTTTCACTCTTGGAACTACAAAAAAAGAATGATTTATGCATGTGTCCAGCTGAAGTATTGGAAGTCGTCCCATACAAAGCCACACTTCCACACAGGTCCAGGTGAGAGACAGAGGTGCCACAGACCCACATGGCTGCAGAACACGGTCCTCTTGACTGCCGTGCACCGACGACCACAGCTGTCAATCACCGTCGCAAACAAAGAACAGGATGATGCTGCGAGCTGCTTATGTCCCTTCAACAAGTCCCACCCACCCTGCCCTCTACAAAATCTAAAAAGGTGACATTGCAGTGCCCCCTTGGTCAGTGGCTGGTGGCCTGTCAGGTCGGTTTGACGTGACTGAGCGGAGGCGAGGGCTGGACAGTAACTCACACTGACACTCGCTCCCGTGTCCAGCGTCTGTGGCCGAGGTAGTCTGCCCAAACATGATTGATGCCCACCACTCATTTATAGATCCAGCTGAGAAAGACCGCTGGGCTGAGGGGCGGGTCGCATCCCAAACCCCACTGACCATACCAGAGCCCAGAGTCCTCCGGTCGCCAGATCCCAGAGAGAAGTTATGGATTCTCTCTGAGTCCAGGAGGAGGAGTCCAGGAGGAAGAGACCAGGAGGAAGAGTCTAGGAGGAAGAGTCTAGGAGGACCAAAATTATTTATTCTGTTCATAAATGACTTGTGTAAAGTGTCTAGTTTGTTTAAAGCGGTCTTATTTGCAGATGACACAAATTTATTCTGTTGTGGAAATAATTTATCGAAATTAATTACTGATATTGAAAATGAGATGTTGAAACTTAAAATATGGTTTGACAATAATTAGCTATCTTTAAACTTAAACAAAACTAAATTAATGCTGTTTGGAAATGTCAATAAAGACAAACAGGTACATTTACAAATACAAGGAGTAAACATAGAGCATGTAAAGGAAACCAAATTTTTAGGAGTGATTATAGATGAAAAGATCAATTGGAAAGCACATATAAAACACATCCACAACAAAATATCCAAAAGTGTAGCAATACTCAACAAGGTCAAATGTGTTCTGGATCATCCCTCATTGCGCATGCTTTACTGTTCACTTGTTTTGCCATATTTCACATACTGTGCGGAAATATGGGGAAACAACTACACTTCTACAGTACAGCTTTTGGTCAATCTGCAAAAAAGAGCCATACGAGTTATCCACAATGCCAGCTATCGAGAACATACCAATCCACTATTTATTCATGCAAAACTACTCAAACTAAATGATTTAGTATCCTACCAAACTGCACAAGTCATGTATAAAGCTAAAAGAAAACAATTACCAGGAAGCATTCAAAGGCTTTATTGTGAAAGTGAAAGAATTTATAATTTAAGAGGAACATTTAATTTCAAAGTGCCTTATGCTAGAACAGCAAAGAAAAGTTTTTGTGTATCTGTATGCGGAGTAAAATTATGGAATTGTATGGAAGCTTGCTTAAAACGTTGCCATAATATTCATAATTTCAAAAAATTATTTAAAAGACAGTTATTTTGTAGATATCCAACAGAAGCATTGTAATATTTATATGAAGATTTGATTATTTTCTTGTGTGTTGTTGTTGGATAATCTTTAAGTCTTGAGGTAGTAAAGGGAAGTCGAAAGGTTTTTTTGTTGTGGTTTTGTTAAAAGTAGAAAAGGGGGCGGGGTTACATAAGTATTTATACTTCTTCCTGCTCCCTTTCGGACATGATTGTTTATTTTATTTATTCCCTAAGGGGAAAAATTGTACATACATTGTACACATATAGGTTTTTTTTTGTGTGTTTTTTGTTTGTTTGTATTTATTTATATTATTTTATATTGTCCGAATAAAGACTCATTATCATTATCATTATCATTATCATTATCATTATCATTATCATTCCTATAGTGTTGGGTTACATTTCTTCTGGTAAAAAGTAAACAAAAAATGAAACTTTTATTTTGTAGAAGTGTAAAAAATATGTGATTTTTTTTTCTGGCAATAGGGCTCAATAGACACTGGACACGGCTAAGACCAGGGGAGGCTGACACTGTCCTGGGTTCCAGAGCTAACTTGAAAATCTACTTTACGGTGAAAACAGAAATTACAGTTACAAACAAATCCAACCTTGGAAGCTTTAACCTTTTATATATACATTTTTATCCATCCATCCATTTTCTTCCCTTTAATCCATTTCTCCATTTCTGGGTTGGGTACAGGAGGCACATGCCAGACCTATTGTACATGTTTTTAGTGGTAGGGGAAAGCAGAGCACCCGGAAGAAACCTGCGCAGACACGGGGAGAACATGCAAATTCCAATAAGAAAGGGCCCTGTTCCGACCGGGATTCGAACCCAGGACCTTCTTGCTGAGAAGCGAGAGTGCCACCGTGCCGCCCATATACACAGTCAGAAGAAAATGGATGGATGGACAATAAATACAATAAATTAATCAAATGAATCTGAATCTGTAGTAATTGACTGATGTTTAGACCTATATTCTTTCGGAGTGTGGTCAAAAGCGATGACCCCCACCCCCCCCATCCTATCCTGTCATGTCCGTTAAATGTTTCTTTAATTCCGTTCTTTTGGGAGAACACAGAGCAGCTCTCTTTGTTTCTCTTTGTTGTGACAGGGTTTGATTTTGCTTAACGTTGCGGTGTGTGGGGTGTGTACAGGGGAGACATGATATGATATTCATTGCACCGATCCAGGTGTGAACTAGCAAGTAGTTATTTGGTAACAGTGGCTGATTGGTGTCTGATTTAATTGTGCCACATCTACACTGTATTATTCATGTCCTGGCACTTTAAACTTGGTAATTACCGGCTGCTGGGGCTCAGTGGGGCTCCAGGGGTTGCGTCAAAAACAGCTCCCCTGACAAATTCACTTACACAGATGCATGCGAGGTGCTCTGACAGATTTGTAAAGCTTTTGTTGTAAGTAGATGTAATGTTTCCTTTTGGCGTTTTGGGTTTTTTTCCGCCGCTCGTAAGGCTCAGTAGGTACACTGTATAGAGGCAAATGTTCTCACCGTGAAAACTTCCGCTTCAGTTTCTAAAGTACATGACATGTGCGGCGCAGGCCATCTGTTGTGTGCGCTCTTAAGCTCGCGCTGTAACTAAAACATCCCTCTTATTAACAGAGTGTAAAGCCATTAGAGGCAAAGTCACACACAGACGAGCAGAGTAAACAAACACGTATAAGAATCTAAGTCTCGAAAAAACTACTGCTTACGTTTCAATACGACGATAAGAAAGTGGAGAGAGAGATAGATGAGGAGGAAGAGAGAGACAGAGAATCTAACCTCAGAGCTGAGGCACAGACAAGAACCATAGACTGTGAATATTAACGGACGAAACTGATAAGCCACTCTTGCCTTCTGTGGCTGTTTCAAAATGGCCGCGGGGCAGGAAAATGTGAAAAAAACACATTTGTGCATACGTTAGCTGCACTAGCCTCATTCAAAAGTGCATTCAGTCCAGGAGGAAGAGTCCAGGAGGAAGAGTCCAAGAGGAAGAGTCCAGGAGGAAGAGACCAGGAGGAAGAGACCAGGAGGAAGAGTCCAGAAGGAAGAGACCGGGAGGAAGAGTCCAGAAGGAAGAGTCCGGGAGGAAGAGACCAGGAGGAAGAGACCAGGAGGAAGAGACCAGGAGGAAGAGACCAGGAGGAAGAGTCCAGGAGGAAGAGACCAGGAGGAAGAGACCAGGAGGTAGAGACCAGGAGGAAGAGTCCAGGAGGAAGAGTCCAGGAGGAAGAGACCAGGAGGAAGAGTCCAGGAGGAAGAGACCAGGAGGAAGAGACCAGGAGGAAGAGTCCAGAAGGAAGAGACCGGGAGGAAGAGTCCAGAAGGAAGAGTCCGGGAGGAAGAGACCAGGAGGAAGAGACCAGGAGGAAGAGACCAGGAGGAAGAGACCAGGAGGAAGAGTCCAGGAGGAAGAGACCAGGAGGAAGAGACCAGAAGGAAGAGTCCAGGAGGAAGAGACCAGGAGGAAGAGACCAGGAGGTAGAGACCAGGAGGAAGAGTCCAGGAGGAAGAGTCCAGGAGGAAGAGACCAGGAGGAAGAGTCCAGGAGGAAGAGTCCAGGAGGAAGAGACCAGGAGGAAGAGACCAGAAGGAAGAGTCCAGGAGGAAGAGACCAGGAGGAAGAGACCAGGAGGTAGAGACCAGGAGGAAGAGTCCAGGAGGAAGAGTCCAGGAGGAAGAGACCAGGAGGAAGAGTCCAGGAGGAAGAGTCCAGGAGGAAGAGACCAGGAGGAGGAGTCCAGGAGGAAGAGTCCAGGAGGAGGAGTCCAGGAGGAAGAGACCAGGAGGAAGAGTCCAGGAGGAAGAGTCTAGGAGGAAGAGTCTAGGAGGAAGAGTCCAGGAAGAAGAGTCCAGGAGGAAGAGTCCAGGGGGAGGAGACCAGGAGGAAGAGTCCAGGAGGAAGAGACCAGGAGGAAGAGTCCAGGAGGAAGAGTCCAGGAGGAAGAGTCCAGGAGGAAGAGACCAGCAAGAAGAGTCCAGGAGGAAGAGTCCAGGGGGAGGAGACCAGGAGGAAGAGTCCAGGAGGAAGAGACCAGGAGGAAGAGTCCACGAGGAAGAGTCCAGGAGGAAGAGTCCAGGAGGAGGAGTCCAGGAGGAAGAGTCCAATAACCACCAGCACTTTATTGCACTTCTACAGAAATGTGATTTATTAACTATTTAAGGACAATATGTGGTACTGTTTAAAACTGACTTAAACCATGGATCTATAACAATATCTGGATTCAGTATTACTATAGCTGTTCCACCAATGGCCACAGGGGGCGCCGTGGTACTGCAGAGGAAATTCATGTTACTCCGAAAAAAAATTCCCATAGAACTCACTGTAAACTAAAACAGCTCTACCTCAGCCGACAGAGAACCTGACAGAGAACCTGACAGAGAACCTGACAGAGAACTTGACAGAGAACTTGACAGAGAACTTGACTTTTTCTTGTTAAATCTTTTGGTTTTCTTTAAATCCACACTTTACAGCAACAAACTCTGATTGTTTGGCTTCTCTCTCATCAGCTGCTCTGATTGGTCAGAACGCAGCCCCTCTGTGCACGTGCATGAGAGGGAGGATGGGAGCTTGTCCACAACGCAGAACCGGGAGGACCTGACAATGCCCAAATACGATGCCAAATATGGGCACGGTCAGGTCTTTCGGCGCAATCTTGGACCCTGCACTACTGAGCACAAGCCATAGATTTGAAAAGGACGCCAGACAAACAGGGAGTATAGACATTTTAAATAAAAAATGGATTATGGATTACTTACAAAACTGAGATATAGGTGCATCCAGTTGGGGTGCGGTGCCCCCTTTCGAATTGAGCTTCTGGACTTGGGTGGGAGGGACCGGTTTATGAGACTGGCCTGTTGCCCGGTACATGGCCTGCACCCACAGGATCCGGTCCTGTTCGTCATCACTGGCAAAGATCACAGTGTCGCCCTCTTTCACCGCATTAAAAAAGGTTCGGCCTCCATCCAGACCTACATGAAATCAATACTTATGGAATTAGCAAATATGCGAAAGAAGATCTCAATTACCCGTGAAAAAGTTCTTACCCGGTTGTGGGTCAGTGTAGTCCACGGTGTAACCGTCCAATTGGAGTAATTCAACCGGTTCTGCCTTCTTTTCTCTGTAGCTACACATCGCAAATGTGTACTGACTGACCTGCACCAGAGAGAGGAACGTGTTCACGTGTTCATGTGTTCATGTGTTCATGTGTTCACATGTTCACGTGTTCACGTGTTCATGTGTTCACGTGTTCACATGTTCACGTGTTCATGTGTTCATGTGTTCACGTGTTCACGTGTTCATGTGTTCATGTGTTCACGTGTTCACGTGTTCATGTAATCATGTGTTCCTCATCTTTTAATCTACACAGTGTAATACACATATTTAATATTCTATATATACATATATACTGTATATATACTGTATATTAGAGTCCCACACTATACTTATACTCCTATAATAAAACAACATAAAGTATGTTTTTATACATGTGAGACAGTTCTGACCTGAGTGACATAAAAAAAAATGTTTTCCACACATTCATTTTGCACCAGTTTCCTTTCTCTACATGTTCTTGTTCTGTGGCATTGGGCACAAATGTCTTTAAAGAAAATACATTTATTTAAATTGATCTAATTTACAACAGCGTGTCTTGGAGGCGATTGTCAAATCACCAACAGATTTGAGAAGCAATTAGAACACAGGAAAGGCAATAATAAACATATAATAATAATAATAATAATAATAATAATAATGATAATGATAATAAAAATGATAAGTCGAAACATTCCCAGAACTAAACTTTCTGCCAAACATTCATTGAGTTATGCCTTTTTTTGCTCAGATAAATGTCGGTGAAAACATTGACGTCTCGGTCCATCTTTCTGTAACTGTAGGAAAAAAAACTACTAAGAAAGTGTCCTTTTTAATGCACCACTTTGGACACACAAAGGAGCAGTGAAGGTGATGGCTGCATCAAAATGCTAAAATAACGTACCCATACACACACACACACACCCACACACACCTCTGTACACACACCCACACCACTGTAAACACACACACCACTGCACACACACCTCCACACACTCACACACACACTCACACACACACACACACACACACACAGTATCTTGTCTGTCTTATTGTATATGTTTGTACGTCTGCACGTGTAACGCATGCAGCAGCACAGTCTTCTCTGCACCCACTCCCACGGGGCCCTCTGCAGGTGACGAGCCCCCAGTCTTCAGCTCCCGTGGGAGTGTTCAGACTGCGCTTTGTCTCACCCGTCTCTGTCTATCGATCTCTGAAACACTGATATATGGGTCATGGAGATGTTCATGAAAACTGTGACACTCTGAAGCCCGAGTCCCGTGTAGCTGCCAGTCATTTACAGTAGGCCTGTCTTCCCCGATCACCAGCCCTGGCCACCGCCGCACTGTCGCCACCTCTGCCTCCGCGAGTGGCAGCTCTCAGTCCAGCTGCAGTGTGTGTGTGTGTGTGTGTGTGTGTGTGTGTGTGTGTGCGTGTGTGCCAAACAAAATTGCTGTGTGCTGCTCTGATGAGACCTGGGGCCACGGGAAGCATGGAGGACTACTACACTAGAGCTAGTCCCTCCAGGATAACTCTGTGGTGAGTCCAGAGCCCGCCCCTCACCAGAGCGCGGCCCAAAACATGCTGCTTTGCCAGGGATGCGAGCTGTCAATCTCCCGCACTGAAGAGGAAGGCCCCGGTCACCATTACAGGAAACACATGCACACAAACACTGAGAAAGCTGATGTGGCATCTGCTTCCCCAAAGTAACTTTAGGATACAAACTCTATGAAAAGTCGCAGAGAGAGCGGCTGGAGAAGGACAAAAGCTACTAATACAGTTTAATACATTTGTTTCCAAGACATTAGACCACGGGGGGCTAAGTCTAAAAACATAACAGCTGGTTGGGGCTAAAAGTGTACATTTCTAGTTCTTTCTAGTTAAATATATTTTTTGGAATTTGGTTTTATTTTAACATCAATTCTCAGTTATTTTTAGTTTAGTTTTACTTCTACTGTCCTGGTCTTGATCGTCTTCTCCGCCCTAATGTGTTTCACCTGTGTCTCTCTCTGTCTCTCTCTCTATTTCTGTGTCTCTCTCTGGTCTCTCTCTCTGTTTCTCTCTCAGGTCTCTGTGTCTCTCTATCTCTCTCTGTCCCTCTCTCTGACTCTCTCTGTCTCTCTCTCTCTCTCTCTGTCCCTTTCTGCCTCTCTCTCTGTCTCTCTCTTTCTCTCTCTGTCGCTCTCTCTCTCTCTCTCTCTATCTGTCTCTCTCTGGTCTCTCTCTTTCTCTCTCTGTCGCTCTCTCTCTCTCTATCTGTCTCTCTCTGGTCTCTCTCTATCTCTCTCTGTCTCCCCCCCCTCTCTCTCGCTGTCTCTCTCTCTGTGTCTGTCTCTCTGTGTCTTTCTCTGTCGCTGTCTCTCTCTCTGTCTCTCTCTCTCTCTGTGTCTCTCTCTGTCACTGTCTCTCTCTCTCTCTCTCTCTCTATCTGTCTCTCTCTGGTCTCTCTCTGTCTCCCCCCCTCTCTCTCTCTGTCTCTCTCTCTGTGTTTCTCTCTCTGTCTCTCTCTCTGTCTCTCTCTCTGTGTCTCTGTGTCTCTCTCTGTCGCTGTCTCTCTCTCTGTCTCTCTATGTGTCTCTCTGCCTCTCTTTCTTTCTCTCTGTCTCTCTCTCTCTGTCTCTCTCTCTCTCTCTCTGTCTCCCCCTCTCTCTCTCTGTCTCGCTCTGGTCTCTCTCTGTCTCCCCCTCTCTCTCTCTCTCTGTCTCGCTCTGGTCTCTCTCTGTCTCCCCCTCTCTCTCTCTCTCTGTCTCCCCCCCTCTCTCTCTCTGTCTCTCTCTCTCTCTGTCTCTCTCTCTCTCTGTCTCCCCCCCCTCTCTCTCTGTCTCTCTCTCTGCGTACTGTCTCTGTCTTTGTTCCTGTTTTGTTTGGATGTTGTAGTTATTTATTAATGTGTTAGTTAACATTTCAGAACATATTTAATTACACGGCTGTTTCCCTGAGTCTTTAAAATACAGTTACTGTGACATCATCATCTCAGGAGACTTTTCAATGTATATAATTCTCACTTTCTTTCCAACTTTACTTTTCTGAACAATTTGGTTGTTTGGAACTTGGAATATACGTGTTTCATTTACACATCTCAGGGATGGAAAATAATCTATAATTGCATGATTTCAGCAAATGTTATAAAATATTAATCAACGTCTTGGAGCAGTCTGGATGTGTAACCTTGACGACCCCCGGGAAGCGTGAGCGAATGATTAACGAACACTTGTCAATTAAGTCTGAGCTTGAGTGACAGATGATGTAAGGCACCTTTAACCCTTTAGGGCCAGGCCTTTTCACTAAGAGCTGCCATTTTGATCCAAATTTCTTAATAACTTAAAAGTGAAAAGAGATAGAAGCTTTATGAGAAATGTTAAAGATGCTAAACCCAATTTTATTTTAAAGAGTTAATTAAAATACTTATTAGTACATACAAGTTGTATTAAAATCCGTAATTTAATGTAAAACTTGAGCTCATTGATTCAGCTGTGTATGAACTCAGGCGTAAAAAGTGCTGAGTAGAGACTTAGCGTGACGCCCGCTCTCCTCCAATCACAGAACAGGCTGCGTCCTCTAGGCCACGCCTCCTCTAGCCTCTACAGCGCTGCTAAACACAGTAGCATGTTAGCATAAGTGGCTATAACTCCTCTGGCTGTAACTGCAGACACAGCAAAACGCTCGGACTATCCACGCTCGGACTATCCACGCTCGGACTATCTACGCTCGGACTATCTGCGCTCGGACTATCTACGCTCGGACTATCTGCGCTCGGACTATCTACGCTCGGACTATCTGCGCTCGGACTATCTGCGCTCGGACTATCTGCGCTCGGACTATCTACGCTCGGACTATCTACACTCGGACTATCCACGCTCGGACTATCCACGCTCGGACTATCTACGCGACTATCTACGCTCGGACTATCTACGCTAGGACTATCTATGCTTGGACTATCTACGCTCGGACTATCTGCGCTCGGACTATCTACGCTCGGACTATCTGCGCTCGGACTATCTACGCTCGGACTATCTACGCTCGGACTATCCACGCTCGGACTATCTACGCGACTATCTACGCTAGGACTATCTATGCTTGGACTATCTACGCTCGGACTATCTACGCTCGGACTATCTACGCGACTATCTACACTCGGACTATCTACGCTCGGACTATCTACGCTCGGACTATCTACGCTCGGACTATCTACGCTCGGACTATCTACGCTCGGACTATCTACGCTCGGACTATCTGCGCTCGGACTATCTACGCTCGGACTATCTACGCTCGGACTATCTACGCGACTATCTACGCTAGGACTATCTATGCTTGGACTATCTACGCTCGGACTATCTACGCTCGGACTATCTGCGCTCGGACTATCTACGCGACTATCTACACTCGGACTATCTACGCTCGGACTATCTACGCTTGGACTATCTACGCTCGGACTATCTACGCTCGGACTATCTACGCTTGGACTATCTACGCTTGGACTATCTACGCTCGGACTATCTACGCTCGGACTATCTACGCTCGGACTATCTATAATTGGACTATCTACGCTCGGACTATCTACGCTCGGACTATCTACGCTCGGACTATCTACGCTCGGACTATCTACGCTCGGACTATCTACGCTCGGACTATCTACGCTCGGACTATCTACGCTCGGACTATCTACGCTCGGACTATCTATAATTGGACTATCTACGCGACTATCTACGCTCGGACTATCTACGCTCGGACTATCTACGCTGGGACTATCTATGCTTGGACTATCTACGCTCGGACTATCTACGCTCGGACTACCTACGCGACTATCTACGCTCGGACTATCTACACTCGGACTATCTACGCTCGGACTATCTACGCTCGGACTATCCACGCTCGGACTATCCACGCTCGGACTATCTACGCGACTATCTACGCTCGGACTATCTAGGCTTGGACTATCTACGCGACTATCTACGCTAGGACTATCTATGCTTGGACTATCTACGCGACTATCTACGCTAGGACTATCTACGCTCGGACTGTCTATAATTGGACTATCTACGCGACTATCTACGCGACTATCTACGCTCGGACTATCTACGCTCGGACTATCTACGCTCGGACTATCTACGCTCGGACTATCTACGCTCGGACTATCTACACTCGGACTATCTGCGCTCGGACTATCTACGCTCGGACTATCTACGCTCGGACTATCTACGCTCGGACTATCTATGCTTGGACTATCTACGCTCGGACTATCTATGCTCAGACTATCTACACGACTATCTACGCTCGGACTATCTACGCTCGGACTATCTACGCTCGGACTATCTATGCTTGGACTATCTACGCGACTATCTACGCTCGGACTGTCTACGCGACTATCTACGCTCGGACTATCTACGCTCGGACTATCTACGCTCGGACTATCTACGCTCGGACTATCTACGCTCGGACTATCTACGCTCGGACTATCTGCGCTCGGACTATCTACGCTCGGACTATCTATGCTTGGACTATCTACGCTCGGACTATCTATGCTTGGACTATGTACGCGACTATCTACGCTCGGACTATCTACGCTCGGACTATCTATGCTTGGACTATGTACGCGACTATCTACGCTTGGACTATCTATGCTCGGACTATCTACGCTCGGACTATCTACGCTCGGACTATCTACGCTCGGACTATCTATGCTTGGACTATGTACGCGACTATCTACGCTCGGACTATCTATGCTTGGACTATCCACGCTCTAACTATCTACGCTCGGACCACATTCGGACGTGAAACTAGCGGTAATCTTTCAGTTATATATTGTGTTAGCAGTGCGTTGCTTTTGTACCATTTCATCAGTGATTGTTGTACAGCTTAAGTTGCGCTCACACTCAGAGACACACACACACACAGACACAGAGAGACACACACAGAGAAACACACACAGAGACACACGCAGCTCTGGACCGGTGTGTGTCACTTGTGATATATTTTGGCAGACAGAAGAGGCTCCAAGTTGCCGATGCACCGGCTTTTCTAGCTGCAAGTGTTGGTCCGAGCTCGTGTTCACTCCACTCTGTCAATCCCCTGTCAACGTGTAGCTCTGAGACATTTCCTTCCCCAACAGACCACGGACAGCTCCCCCCCTCCCTCACTCACTCCCCCCTCCCTCCCTCACCCCGTCCCTCCCTCACCCCCCCCCACCTCCCTCACCAGTCGCCACCTTCCGCAGACTGAGCTCCTGACAAAAGCCTGATTCTCCATGCTCCCATTGACACACACAGAACACACACATGCACTTACACAAATAATATACACACACAGAAAACCTACAAACACAGAACACACAAACACACACACAAACAAACAGACACACACAGATAAACACAGAGAGAACACACACACATGTACAGAGAGAACACACACGTACACAGAGAAAACACACACACTCAGCTTCTACACTCATACATATACACACATATATATACATACACACACACTAATATACACACAAACACACATATATATACATACACACACACACACATATATATACATACACACACACATATATACACAGACACACATGTACACAGAGAACACACACACAGAGAACACACACACACGCACACACACAGAGAACACACACACACGCACACATGTACAGAGAACACGCACACACACAGAGAACACACACACACGCACACATGTACAGAGAACACGCACACACACACAGAGAACACACACACACGCACACATGTACAGAGAACACACACACACACACACACACAGAGAACACACACAGAGAGAACACACACACACGCACACATGTACAGAGAACACACACACACACAGAAAGAGAACACACACACACACACAGAGAGAACACACACACACACATTTGGCCGAGGGACAGAGCAGTGGCTAAAGATAAAGAAAGTCGTCACTTCTCTTCTGGTTTTTGTGATTGTGCTTTTTTATAAATAAAACTTTATTTTTATTTTTTTATAATTTTGTGTAGAAGAAAAATGTCAGCATGATGTCATTGTCATAAAATAAAAAACAAAATAAAAAAGTAATTGTTGGATATATATTCTTGCCACATGTAGCATTCATTAATTATTATTAATTATTATTATTATTATTACTATTATTATCATCATAATCATTATCATTATCATTATTGTTATTATTATTATTCTTTGACTCACCTGGACCAGCACAAAGAAGCGCCTCTTCCATCTCTTCCAAACATTTTTACCAATCGTCCACAAGTATCTGTAAAAACAAAAATAACATGTTACACTTCGATAACAAATATTTATATTTAAATACATTCACTAAAATTACAATGGCACAAATATATTTAAAATCAGAAAACATTGTGAAAAAAGTCTTAATTTTTACCAATTATTATTTGAAATTGTATCTTTTTAATTTCGAATCTATTTAAAAATTGATCCATAATGTTAAAAAAATACATATTACAGCTACACAAATACTTAGGAATAGGCACAATAAACTTCAGCTGCTGCCTTTTCCATTTCAGACATTTGTTTTTCTATTTTTATGTAATGAAAGTTAAAATGTCTAAATAAATCAAATATTAGTCTGAATAAATATAACAAATTTAAGTGCGTTTAAATTCATGTATTTAGTGAAATTCTTAAATCAACAGTTTCAAATAAATTAATACATGAATCTACATATAATGAATTTTTTGTCTGTATTTTTAAAAATAAATCCCCAAAAATGTAAACCACAGTCTGTAAACCTGCCTCTGTGTTTCCGGGAGTGGATGTATTTGTAAACACTGCCCTCTGCTGGTCAGAGGTGGTGCGTCATGAAGAAGAGTGTGTTTTTTTTTTTGGGCATTAGTCTCTCACTCCACACAGATATGGTAGCTGGGCCAGTACAGGAGGCACAGACTTATTGTACATGTTTTTAGTGGTAGAAGAAACTCGAGTACCCGGAGAAAACCTACGCAGACACAGGGAGAACATGCAAACTCCACTCAGAGAGGCCCTGTTCCTCACTCAGCCACCGTGCCGCTCGCACAAAAACACGCAAAAACTGGTGAATAACTAGACATCAAATCCATGTTTTCCCGTCACTGCCCTTGAATTCCTTCCACATTTGAAAGCACGTATGACAGAGAACACGTATGACAGAGTAATGTGTGTGAAAACGTTGGATGGAGGCCCCTGGTGCTATGTGTGGAGCTTTGGGGGCCTCTCTCAGCTGTGTGCCTGTTTGTCGTCCTACATAAAACAACAGCCGTGGGTCAGAGCGGTCTCTGCAGGCTCAAAACCAGACCCTGTCCATCAAACTGTGCTGTGAGGCTCCAGACTGATCCAGACTGATCCAGACGATGGAAAGAGCATTCACAAACAAGAGTTACTGACATGACAGCGTTTCCATCGTGTCCTAAGCCGCCGCCGCCGCCGCCGCCTCACTGTCGCCGCAGACACGGTAGAAGTCAGTCAGGTTGCTCAGGTTTTTACATTTCTCTCTTTGTATTTTTTGTATTTATTATTATTATTACTATTATTATTATTTTTATTGTTTATTTTTTTATTTGTATTATTATTTTTGTCTCTGAACATTTTTGTATTTATACTCAGTCCTTGGAATATTCCGTAGAATTCCGTTTTGCTACTTGTCTCAAAGCTTTTGTTTCCTTTTATATACAGTATATATTATTTAGGTATTCTAATTCTTTCTAGGTATTATGGAGGGTTTCAGGTTTGAGAGGACAATGGAGCAAGTTTGTTTAGTGTGTGACTGTCCGGATTGTAATCTGTGTTCGTTAATTGTAATCTGTGTTTTGTGTTTTTGGAGCTCCTTGAAAATGGCACATCCAGAGAACTCCATGAATAAACTAAACTCACCACTTCAGCTCAATGAGGATGTTTTACTGCAGGTTTATTTAGACATAGTTGATGTAAGGATGTAATGTGTTCGTGCGCCAGCAGAGGGCGCCCTTTGTTTTCTTAAAGGACAACTCACCCTCAAATCCACTTTTTTTGCTGATAAACGATATAAATGAGTGTCCAATAGTATTTCCTACATATCCTGGTCATAATTTTGTCCCTTTGGTGCAAATTAGTTGAAAGTTAAACTTTCTGCCTAAAACCGTCTGTGAGGCGCCATCTGCTGGCGACCTGTATTACTACATTTGCATTTTGAATCTGGCGCCAACACTGGCGCGGCAGCAAGACCTGACGTCTGAAGCAAGACCTGACGTCTGAAGCAAGACCTGACGTCTGAAGCAAGACCTGACGTCAGCAGCCCCCCGCCCAGAGCAATGTAAACGGCCCAGTCTCGTTCACGCCCCCTTTAGTCCTCCAGGCTACGCCCATTTAGAGGAAGATTTGAACAGGAAATGTGAGTGACGTAAGCTCCGAGGAGCGGGGGTGAGAACCACTTTAACTACATAAGCCCTCCGCAGCTTCGCAACACTGCAGTTCTCTTTTGTTTTTATGAAGGTAAGGAGGGCTCCCGAGTGTAAAATAAGTTTAATTGTGTAAAAATGTATGTTGGGTGCCAAATATTGATTGTACATTTAGGCTGTTTTGCTGTTAAACTGAAGTGGGAAAAAAAACTTAGTATTTTGTTTTTAGAGTGCTAGCTTGCACGTGTCCTTGTTAGCATGTGGACTCTACAATTCAGCCTTTGAATTTACAATTGAATACTGCAAAAACAGTTATAATTTCTTCTTAATGAGGAAGTTCTCTTTTGTTTTTATGAAGGCAATAAATGAGGAACGTCTGTTCAGCCTCTTCCACCATTGACTCCTGGTTTCCCTATCCGCACTGCTGGCCCCTGACCAGTAACACAAACAACACAACGCAGAGATCACACTCGGGGCTTGCCATCGCAGAACTAGGGTTAAATTTATATCATGTCAAATATAAAATCCAAATCAAAGGAAGGTTTCTCACCATCATCTGTACTTCTTAGAAACCTTCCTTTGCTTTGACTAATCCCTGTTCGACCGAGAACTACACAAAGTTACACACAAACTTATACAACCCTATGCTTTATAAAGAACGAATATGAACTGCTCTGGACACTGCAGCGAGTAAGTCCAGACCAGAGCAGAGAGGATTCATGGTTTTACACTGGTCCAGACCAGAGCAGAGAGGATTCATGGTTTTACACAGAGAGGATTCATGGTTTTACACTGGTCCATGTCACACTTACCCACAATGCTTCATGTTCTGGGGCTTGTCCATGCGCACGGCCAGCCTGATCCGCAGCTCGCTGTCAGAGCATCCTTTAGACACCGTCATCTTATGGAGCTCAGACTGTTTGGGGCTGTTGGGGGTCGGGTGTAGAACCACCTGCACAACACACACGCATACACACACAAACACACACACACACACACGCACACACAGACAGACACACACACACACACACACCACACACGGACATAAACACACACCACACACGGACACACACACACACACACACACACACACACCACACACGGACACACACACACACACACACACACACACCACACACACACACGGACACACACACACACACACACACCACACACGGACACACACACACACACACACACACACCACACACACACACATTACCAAGTGCTCATAGGGCAGGATCATGGTGCCAATGTCTTACTCTGCCCAGCTCCTTGTCCTCCAGGGCCAGGACCCCGGTGCTCTCCGTGAACAGTTTGACTTTGACGGCAGGTAACGGCTGAGTGGTGGTGAAGTCTCCCTGCGTGCCCCACCTGAAACACACATCCAGTCACATTTATCTGTATAGCGCATTTTTTTTCATACTGTAAGACCAGATATTCCTGTAATGGTCCCACAGCGGGAAAAGTCAGCGCCTTTTTTGCACATTACAGCAGAGAAAGAAGGAAATGAGACTCAGATCAGCATCAAACAGTCAAGTATTTAAGAAAATAGACAATAGAATTAAACTAATAATGGTAAAATAGAATAAAATAAACTCTGGAGCTATAACTGCACTTGGTTCAGAAGTATTTACAGATGTGTTTAATGTACTTTAGCAGCGGAGAATATGAGCAGAATAAACAATAGTAATAATATCAACAGGTAAAGTGACTAGTGACTGTGTGTGACTAGTGAATTACTATCAGTGACACTTGTACAGACTCAGCAGTTCTCGTTGTACAGTCTGACAGCAGCAGGGAGGAAGGACCTGTGAAACCTCTCCTTCACACAGCGAGGATGAATACTATTATCATATACATTATTTTTGAGTTTTGGCCTTCAGAATTCAAATAAAATGTCATAATTCCAAAAAACATCACAAGGCAACAGTTATAGTGCTTGATTGATAGTTAGTAAAGAAGGTTTTTCTGACGACACAGGCTAAGTGACAATACTTTAACCCATCCTAATCTGGCCACAATATTTACATTTCATTTCATTTCAGAGACATGTGTCAAATATTACTATCACGACTTTATAATCCGTATTTCTCAGAATATGTCGCACCAGCTGAAAACACACAAAATCCAACACGAAGAACACACATTTCATCTTGAGGCAGTTTAAAATAAAAATAGAGAACAGCTGAATATGTGGACATTAAAGGACACAACTGAGAACGTCCTGGTTTGTTTTAACGCACCATAATACAGTCACTTTAAAATCTAGTCAGTGTCTCCCCTAATCCAATAAAATCTCCGTCTGTGTCACTTCTGAACAACTCCGCCAACTCCTAGGTAAATAAAATATAAAATGTCATAATTTCACACATATGTCTCATCCCGGGTCAAACTATGACAAAAACTGTGATTTCTAATCCAAAAATACAGTTTGAATGTGTTTGAACCGAGGTCAGTGACTCTGGCGTTCATTCTCAAATCATAAAAACATAACACAGGGTTATGTCTTCAGGCCGCGTAACTGCCTGAAGAAAAATGTTGTTTTCTCTGATGCCTAAAGTCAGTCGTGACCTAAATCAAGCCAGATCCTGTCAGACCTCTGAAGCTGTGCGGGGCAGGGCCTGGTTAGTTCTGTGATGGGAGACCTCAAGGAACAGCAGGTGCCACAGTGGGGCGGCTGCAGCTGTAAAGTGCCAAACGGTGGTTGTGTCGTTAGTCACTTCCCCCCATTGCCTAGAATGAGTCTGGTGTGTGTATGAATGGTTGGTGGTGGTGGCCCTGCTTCTGTCAGTGTGCCCCGGGCAGTTTATCACCACGGTGTTTGGAGAGAATGGATAATGACGTAAATGTAAAGCGTCTTTGAGTGTCCTGAAAAGCGCTGCATAAAACCAATGCATTATTAGATTATTCTATATTATTATCTTCAATAGATGTGTATTGTATCTGGTCCACGTTCTGTAGCTTAGGTCCTGGATCTACAGCCTCAGTCCTCGTTCTACAGTCTGAGTCCTGGATCTACAGCCTCAGTCCTCGTTCTACAGTCTGAGTCCTGGATCTACAGCCTCAGTCCTCGTTCTACAGTCTGAGTCCTGGATCTACAGCCTCAGTCCTCGTTCTACAGTCTGAGTCCTGGATCTACAGCCTCAGTCCTCGTTCTACAGTCTGAGTCCTGGATCTACAGCCTCAGTCCTCGTTCTACAGTCTGAGTCCTGGATCTACAGCCTCAGTCCTCGTTCTACAGTCTGAGTCCTGGATCTACAGCCTCAGTCCTCGTTCTACAGTCTGAGTCCTGGATCTACAGCTTTTCCTCTGATGCAGGAGTCTGTTACAGTTTGTGTCTAACAAAAGGGACTGAGATGATCCAGGAACCTTTAACATTTATCACATGTATGACATTTATCAACATGTGTTCGATATTCTTTTTGTGTCTTATCTGTTGATTCTCTGATCTGTGTTGGTGTTTTCAATGGTTTTGTGAAGTCTCTGAGATGATACTGTTGTGATTTAGGGCGATACAAGTATAAATTGTATTGTAATTGCATTGTGTAGTATTGTATTCGTGCAGTGAGACATAAATAATGATGGCTGAGGGAGTGTCAGTTATCAGGCCATACTTACAGTCCCATTCTCCTCTGCTGTCCACTAGAGGGCGGTGTGTGTCAACATATGAGGAGCATCAAGTCAGAATCCACACTCAGACAAGTCAATACTCTTTTGTGTTTTGTTTATAAGCCGATGTTTTGCTCTACCCCAGGTGTAGTGTGGGTATTTCAGGATGTGCATGAGTCGGAGGCGGTACACACATGGGCTTGGAGGCCTCTGCCTGGTCCGTCTGCAGCTTGTGTCCTCCTTCCACCTCCATTGTGCAGTAAACGATACGATTTGGGGCCAATGACTTCAGCCCCAACACCTCCATGATGACCACCTGTTGAGAACCCACAAATTAGTTAAATACAATCATGACATCAAACCGAATTGATTTGTTTGTTTGGATGGATGTGTTTCTGCTGCGACTGGACACTGCATTTATCCTACAGGGATCAATAACATATCTATCCATCTACAACCTACCTATAGTATTATTTTACCTACCTTTTTTGTTATTCTCGGTGTCTGTGTTGATCTGGACCTTGAGTCTGCAAATAATGTTATCTACCTATATCTACCCACCTACCCATATCTACCTACCTATCTACCTGCCGACCGATATCTATCTACCAACCTACCTACCCACCTATCTATAGCTATCTACCCACCTACCTACCCACCTATCTATAGCTATCTACCCACCTACCTACCCACCTACCTTGCTATATCTATCTACTTACCTACCTACCTACATCAACCCACCTATCTACTGTACTTACCTGCCTACCTATCTATCTATCTATCTACCTAAACACTGGAGATTTCCTGTTTGAAAGGCTGATTTGAGCAATTCACAATGCACAGCGCCGCCTTCAGGTGAGTTTGTGCATAGCAGATGTGTTTCCTCTGTTAAAAGCAAACACATCCAAACATAGGTTTCACTCTCAGCGAGAGACAGGGGATGCTGGCAGCTAAAAGATCTCATTAAATGTATAAATAAATTCTACACCTCACCCACATTGTGTTTTACGGAGCCTACTCCGACAGATGGAATAATATTGTCTCTGTGTGTGTGTGAGCTAAAAGCTGGAGTCGGTAAAGCTTGTAATATATACTATTGTTATTATTATGATCATAGTTTATTGACTTTACCTAATCACAGCATAGCCTCCATTATCTTAAAGGTTTAAAGAGGAAAGAACCGCCCGCTCCTTTTTGAACCAAACTCTCTGCTCTTTATTCTCTGCTGCGGTGGCGCCCGCCGGAAGTGGCGGAAGTAGCAAGCTGACTTGGATGCTAACGGAGTTAAGCTAGCGGCTTTTTGTCTAAAGTCCTTCTCCAATAATGCAGCTCTGCAGCGTCTCTGGTTAAATCCTGGTTTAGTCCTGATGTAGCTCCTGTTTTGGCTGTTTACGAGTATGTTCCCGAGTATGTTTACTAATGTCCCTGTGACCACTTTGCGGCTCTCTGATTGGTCGCTGCACGAGCGTCCGAGGAAACTGCAAAATGTATCTCCTGCGTGCGTCGATTTTCAGCTCCTGCGCCTCTGCCGTGCCTCTGCCGTGCCTCTGCCGTGCCTTTGCCGTGCCTCTGTCGTGCCTCTGCCGTGCCTTTGCCGTGCCTCTGTCGTGCCTCTGCCGTGCCTTTGCCGTGCCTCTGTCGTGCCTCTGCCGTGCCTTTGCCGGGCCTCTGTCGTGCCTCTGCCGTGCCTTTGTCGTGCCTCTGCCGTGCCTCTGCCGTGCCTCTGCCGTGCCTGCCGTGCCTCTGCCGTGCCTTTGTCGTGCCTCTGTCGTGCCTCTGCCGTGCCTCTGTCGTGCCTCTGCCGTGCCTTTGCCGTGCCTCTGCCGTGCCTCTGCCGTGCCTTTGCCGTGCCTCTGCCGTGCCTCTGTCGTGCCTCTGCCGTGCCTTTGCCGTGCCTCTGTCGTGCCTCTGCCGTGCCTCTGCCGTGCCTCTGCCGTGCCTTTGTCGTGCCTGTCGTGCCTCTGCCGTGCCTCTGTCGTGCCTCTGCCGTGCCTCTGCCGTGCCTCTGCCGTGCCCTGTCGTGCCTCTGCCGTGCCTCTGCCGTGCCTCTGCCGTGCCTGTCGTGCCTTTGTCGTGCCTCTGCCGTGCCTCTGCCGTGCCTCTGCCGTGCCTGTCGTGCCTTTGTCGTGCAGTCTGTGCGTCTCTACCGCGCAGTCCGTGCATGCATCCCGACACGCTCGTGTGTTTTGACGCTCAAACTCGCGTCACCATTGACTTTGAAAGTTGACGCAGCATGATCCGGTCTGAACGCGGCATTATTGGTCGAGCACATATCACCAGAATGATTGACAAGTGGGAGGACCAATAGTCTTGATCATCCACCCGGAAGTAGAACATCCTCGTGTACACCTTTACTCCAGTAAAGTACAAACAGATAATCAAGGTATTTGTTGCTGTTTATTTTATGTTAAATGTATAAATCATTTAAAAGATTTAACTGATTGTGGGTTATCTTTACCCTCAACTTAGGAATACACAATACACAATACACAAATACACAATACACAACACACAAATACACAATACACAATACACAAATACATAAATACATAAATACACAATACACAAATACACAAATACACAAATACATAAATACACAATACACAAATACACAAATACATAAATACACAAATACACAATACACAAATACACAAATACATAAATACACAATACACAAATACACAAAACAAAACGCGGCAACACACCAATGCAACAGCCCAACAACACACCAGCACACCAACACACACATAAACAACACACCAACACACACATAAACAACACACCAGCACACCAACACACACATAAACAACACACCAACACACATTCACACGTGTACAAACCTCCAGTGTGAAGGACAGCACCACATCAGACTTGGACAGTGTGTTCTCGTCCTCTTGGCCCATGTCCATGATGGAGGCGTTGTGGCCTCTCTTGAGCTTCTGCAGTTTGAAGTCTCCGCCCTTGGACACCGGCATGCTCTCCAGGTTCGCCATGAGGAGGTTCACCGAAGACCGCAGCTCCTCGATGAACAGGGCCTCCATCTCCCTGGAGCAGAACCGCGGGAACCTCGCCCCGTGCTGGGGCACAACAGAGGACTTTTACTGGATTCAGTGTGTGTGTGTGTGTGTGTATATCTAAATTAGTGTATGTCTAAGTTTGCGTGTCGGTGTTTGTATCTCTGTATGTGTGTATGTCCACGTGTCTGAGTGTGTGTGTGTTGGGGGGGTGTGCGTGTATCTTTGTCTCTGTGTACAGTATGTGTGTGTGTGTGTGCATCCTGTATGTGTGTGTGTATCTGTGTAAATGTGTTTGTCTGTGCATGCGTGTTTGTGTCTGTGTATCTGTGTATGTGTGTATGTCTATGTCCGTGTGTCTGTGTGTAAGTGTATATATCTACTGTATATGAGTGTATGTCTATGTGTGCGTGTGTGTATCTCTGTATGAGTGTATGTCTACGTGTGCGTGTCTGTGTGTGTGTATATCCGCGTGTCTGTGTGTGTGTGTGTATGTCCAGGTGTGTGAGTGTGTGTGTACAGTATATCTATATGAGTGTATGTCTATGTATGTGTGTCTATGTGTGCGTGTGTATATCTATACAAGTGTATGTCTGTGTGTGTGTGCCTGCGTGTGTGTGTGTCTCTGTGTGTGTCTTTTACCCGTGCTATCTGATCGGCCATTTGCAGTCGTCCGTCCAGCTCCCTTCTGATTTGCGCTGCTTGTTCGTCCGGGTTGTCAAGCTGAGAAAAACAAAAACAACACAATCGTTTACTTTCTGAATAAATAATGAATAAATAATGAATAAATAATGAATAAATAATGCAGTTTAGACTTGTTCTACATTTACGACACACAAACACACAAATGAAATATTAAAGGCTTTCTGAAAACCAGCTGAAGCTCTTGTTTGTGTATGAATTGTGCTATACAGATAAACTTGCCTGGTTTTGCGTTCCTTCTCTAATCCGTTGTTAAGGGGCGTTCACACCGGACTTAACTTCGGCGTCAAAAGCGTCAGGTTTGCATTGAAAGTGAATGGTGAAGCGCGTCAGGTGAAGCCGAGGGCCCCGGCGTCACTTGGCGCGCGTCAAAAGCTTCAAAGGTCGCGCGTAATACACGCTCACTTGAAGCTTTTGAAGCGCGAAACGCTCGCGTATCACAACAATCCCTCTGACGCCGAAGCTGAGCAAAGCTGAGCTTTTGAAGCTTTGACGCGGGCTTCAACCAATCAGGAGACGAGGAGCAGCAGCAGCAGAGGGTCTGTCTCTGTCATGGAGAGAAGTCATGTATCTGCTGCTGCTGTTTTATTGTCATTATTGTTATTAGTAATATTATTTGTATGAGTAGTAACGTTCTGAGTAACAAAAATCATTGTACACATGCTGTGTAGTAAACGTAGTTTATTTAAAATAAGAACAGGCTGACGATGAGTCTGGCTCAGAGCAAGGCAGCTCTGGGCGGGCGAGAGCCGGGGAGAGGCGAGCGAGAGCCGGGGAGAGGCGAGCGAGAGCCGGGGAGAGGCAGGGAGAGGCAGGCGAGAGCCGGGGAGAGGCGAGCGAGAGCCGGGGAGAGGCGAGCGAGAGCCGGGGAGAGGCAGGGAGAGGCAGGGAGAGGCGGGCGAGAGGCAGGGAGAGGCAGGGAGAGGCGGCGAGAGGCAGGGAGAGGCGGGCGAGAGGCAGGGAGAGGCGAGCGAGAGCCGGCGAGAGGCAGGGAGAGGCGAGCGAGAGCCGGGGAGAGGCAGGGAGAGGCGAGCGAGAGCCGGGGAGAGGCAGGGAGAGGCGAGAGCGAGGCGGGGAGAGGCAGGGAGAGGCGAGCGAGAGCCGGGGAGAGGCAGGGAGAGGCGAGAGCGAGGCGGGGAGAGGCAGGGAGAGGCGAGCGAGAGGCGAGCGAGAGCCGGGGAGAGGCAGGGAGAGGCGGAGAGAGGCAGTGAGAGGCAGAGAGAGCCGGGGAGAGGCAGGGAGAGGCGAGCGAGAGCCGGGGAGAGGCAGGGAGAGGCGAGAGCGAGGCGGGGAGACGCGAGCTCCGGGGTTTGAGAACTCAGACTGGGCGAGTGACATGCGGAAGTGCCGCTGAAAGCGAAACTCCTCCGTACGCAGCTCCTGGAGTAAATGACGGAACTCTGCAAACACTGCAGCCTCTCAAGTCTGTGGTGAACCCAGAACATGTTTTGTTGAAGCCCTACAACAACGTTATTTTGCTTTATATAACAAATAAAGGCTCGCTGCTCATGGAAAAATCCATCGCTGTCCTGACTACAGTGAAGCTCCTCCCACCGGCGTCAGGCGCGTCACTCGCGTCACTCGCGTCACTCGCGTCAAAAACTTCAAGCACCAAAATGACAAAACTATCCCAGCGTCAGTTGAAGCGCGTCAAAAGCTTTTTGAAGCTTTAGGTCTGAACGCGCCTTTAGTGAATCATCAACGTTATGTTATAAATGTGGAATCATTTACTTCTTTGATTGTTTCTATTTGATTTGTTTTCACTTGTTTCCTTGAGTACGAATGTGAATGTGTTTATCTAATGTTAATGCTTCAGGGAGTTCCCCGTGCGCACGCTGTGAAAGCATCAGGGGTGTCCAAACTTTTAGTAAGAGGGCCACTTTAGTTCATCAGACCTGGATTTGCGCTGGACTGACTGGATTCTGGAATTAAAAATGCACGATGATACGTCCTTTTTTACTCACACCACAGCTGCATTTTATGTGGGATGCTGTGACAAAAAAGTCAACGAGTGGATTCGAGAGGGTCTGAGATTTACAACAAAGTACAGCATGATTGTGTTGGTGGAGCTGAAGTTGGTTGGATGACACTGTCAAAGTGCCTTAATGACTTTGTGTCAGCAGCAGAGGGACTCGCGGGCAGCCCTTAGATTAATCAATGACTCTTCTGGCTCCTGGTAAAGCCATGTTCCAGCTTCTTCCTCTGGCAGAGGATATCGTTCGCTGAGCTGCAGGACATGCTAACATGCTAACAGATTCTTCCCACAAACTGTTATCAGTTTGAACAGAGCACTTTAATGATCTTACTGTAGTACTGAAACTGTTTTTGTTTACAATTGTATTTGTTTTATGTATTTTTAACCTTGTTAAATTATGTACTTGTCTTGTTCTCAATGGGGACATTTGGACATGTATTCCACTGTGGTTTTACTACTCCTGACCCCTCACTGCTCCTGACCCCTCACTGCTCCTGACCCCTCACTGCTCCTGACCCCTCACTGCTCCTGACCCCTCACTGCTCCTGACCCCTCACTGCTCCTGACCCCTCACTGCTCCTGACCCCTCACTGCTCCTGACCCCTCAATGCTCCTGACCCCTCAATGCTCCTGACCCCTCACTGCTCCTGACCCCTGACTGTTCCTGCACCCACCTCTAAAGACTATAAAATAAATGTCTTAATAGTTGAAGTGCTGTGAGTACATAGAACATCTGGAGCCACACTGGGCTGGAATAACCCTGGTACAGGAATGAGTGTGTCCTCAGACCAACAAAGATGGAAGTGGACGCTGCCTGTTTGAGTGTCCGCTCCTCACGCCGCTCCGGCTGTGGCGTGCGGCCCGGTCCCCGTGGACACTATCGGGCCTGGACACTGCAGGAGCCACCCCCTCCCTCGGTTCCCCCGGTCAGATAAGAGATCGTTCATAGGGGAGGGGGGAGGGGGCTGTGTACCGTTTCCATGGAAACTACATCAGCAAGGACAAGGGCCGCTGTGGAGGACCAGGAGCCCAGCCTTTCATGTGTTAATGAAGATGTGTATTCTTTATGTTTCATCCTCAAATCACATTCACAGAAGGTTCCATGAACTTTTACTGTAGAATGTTCTGGAAACTGCAGAGAGTGTCTTTGAAACTGTTATTTTACACTGGTCCAGACCAGAGCAGAGAGGATTCATGGTTTTACTGGTCCAGACCAGAGCAGACAGCATTCATGGTTTTACACTGGTCCAGACCAGAGCAGAGAGGATTCATGGTTTTACACTGGTCCAGACCAGAGCAGAGAGGATTCATGGTTTTACACTGGTCCAGACCAGAGCAGAGAGGATTCATGGTCCGAACCAAGTGGATCAGGGGAAATCCAGTCCTCTCTGTCCTCTCTGTCCTCTCAGTCTCCTCTATCTCCTCTGTCCTCTCCGTCTCCTCTGTCCTCTCTGTCTCCTCTGTCTCCTCTGTCTCCTCTGTCTCCTCTGTCTCCTCTGTCTCCTCTGTCCTCTCTCTCCTCTGTCCTCTCAGTCTCCTCTGTCCTCTCTGTCTCCTCTGTCTCCTCTGTCTCCTCTGTCTCCCCTGTCTCCTCTGTCCTCTCTGTCCTCTCTGTCCCCTCTATCTCCTCTGTCCTCTCTGTCTCCTCTGTCCTCTTTGTCTCCTCTGTCCTCTCTGTCTCCTCTATATTCTCTCTCTCCTCTGTCCTCTCTGTCCTCTGTTTCCTCTGTCTCCTCTGTCCTCTCTGTCCTCTCTGTCTCCTCTGTCTCCTATGTCTCCTATGTCTCCTCTATCTCCTCTGTCATCTCTGTCCTCTCCGTCTCCTCTGTCTCCTCTGTCTCCTCTGTCTCCTCTGTCTCCTCTATCTCCTCTGTCCTCTCTGTCTCCTCTGTCTCCTCTATCTCCTCTGTCCTCTCTGTCTCCTCTGTCTCCTCTGTCTCCTCTGTCCTCTCTCTCCTCTGTCCTCTCAGTCTCCTCTATCTCCTCTGTCCTCTCTGTCTCCTCTGTCCTCTCCGTCTCCTCTGTCTCCTCTGTCTCCTCTGTCTCCTCTATCTCCTCTGTCTCCTCTGTCCCCTCTGTCTCCTCTATCTCCTCTGTCCTCTCTGTCCTCTCTGTTTCCTCTGTCTCCTCTATCTCCTCTGTCCTCTCCGTCTCCTCTGTCTCCTCTGTCTCCTCTGTCTCCTCTATCTCCTCTGTCTCCTCTGTCCCCTCTGTCTCCTCTATCTCCTCTGTCCTCTCTGTCCTCTCTGTTTCCTCTGTCTCCTCTATCTCCTCTGTCTCCTCTGTCTCCTCTGTCTCCTCTGTCTCCTCTGTCCCCTCTGTCTCCTCTATCTCCTCTGTCATCTCTGTCCTCTGTCTCCTCTGTCCTCTTTGTCTCCTCTGTCCTCTCTGTCCTCTCTGTCTCCTCTGTCTCCTATGTCTCCTCTGTCATCTCTGTCCTCTCTGTCTCCTCTGTCCTCTTTGTCTCCTCTGTCCTCTCTGTCTCCTCTATATTCTCTCTCTCCTCTGTCCTCTCTGTCCCCTCTATCTCCTCTGTCCTCTCTGTCTCCTCTGTCTCCCCTGTCTCCTCTGTCCTCTCTGTCCTCTCGGTCTCCTCTATCTCCTCTGTCCTCTCCGTCTCCTCTGTCTCCTCTGTCCTTTTTGTCTCCTCTGTCCTCTCTGTCTCCTCTATATTCTCTCGCTCCTCTGTCCTCTCTGTCCTCGCTGTCTCCTCTGTCTCCTCTGTCCTTTTTTGTCTCCTCTGTCCTCTCTGTCTCCTTCATCTCCTCTGTCCTCTCTGTCCTCTCTGTCTCCTCTGTCTCCTCTGTCTCCTCTGTCTCCTATGTCTCCTCTGTATCTTCTGTCTCCTCTGTATCCTCTGTCTCCTCTGTCCCCTCTGTCTCCTCTATCTCCTCTGTCCTCTCTGTCCTCTCTGTTTCCTCTGTCTCCTCTGTCCTCTCTGTCCTCTGTCTCCTCTGTCTCCTATGTCTCCTCTATCTCCTCTGTCATCTCTGTCCTCTCTGCCTCCTCTGTCTCCTCTGTCTCCTATGTCTCCTCTGTCTCCTCT